TGATCAATAGGTAGGCATTGTGTTATTGGTTCGGTGTTGTGTGGTACGATTGTACTCTTGATCATATCTTGGGTGTGCAAGTCCCCTATGATTTTGATATAAGTATAAAACTTGGGCACTGTGGTAGAGTATAATTCCATTATAGATAAGATTTTATTTTGATAAATCGCACAGTGTTTACAGTTATATGAACAGTTATATGATTTTCTTATAACCAAAACTAAGGTCGACTTTCAATCATTGTTATGTTCATAGTGCGATGGCAAGGTTAAGCATTTGTGCCACGATGCCTGACGATTAAGTTGTATGTTATTGACGTCAGCATTACCTTGTGCACCGACAAATCTTCATTGGGACGTGACAGTAGATCAAGGCATAAATGTACAGATAGTACGGTCTTACGTACTACATGTTCTTGTCGGCATTCTTGGCTGTCACGTGGCACTGGATCCATCATTCACCGAGGGAGAAAGTGTCGAAAATGTAATAGTGCCTAGATAAATTTGGGTTATAAATGATAACGGAATTAGAGGATTTCGCTAGAAACCAATACCTCATCTAAATAGTGAAACCGCCAAGCCTGATGTGCAGGTATATTAGTCTATCTCATTACATGGTAACACCAAGGAATGTTTTTGTATGATAAGCTACCTTGGTCTAATTTGACTTGGTTGTCCTAATTTTTAATACATAAGTACCGTCTCAAAACTCATGTTGAGGCTACCAACCAGGGTGTATTCTTAACTGTGTCGGTATGTAGCTGCACCTCAGGTGTAAGGCGTAATTCATATAAGGGTAAAACTTGGGCACTGGCAGAGTATAACTCCATTATGAATAAGATTTTATCAACAGTGGAGCTAAGGCATACTTCTGGAGTTTTCCAGTACCAGCTGTGTCATTTTTGCCGTAATTCCTAATTCTGATTTTTGTGCTTGTGTACCGAACCTAAAATTGAGTGTTTGTTGCAAATAGCTTGCAGGCCTTCTGTGAATGGCTAAGTATGGTTGGGAGTGGGAAAACCCGAAGTGCTCTCAACTAAGTACGCACCTATAGCATATCACGTGATTCATAACAATGCCTTTCAAATGATGTGCTGTCCCCACAAAAGTGAAAAGGCGAATGTTCGATACTTATCATCAAACTAGTGTGTCTATCACATGGAGTTGGAATACTGATTCTCAGCCGTATGATGTACATAGATTTCAGGGTCTGAAAGTCGCGTGAATCTGTTTTAATTGCCGGCGACCGTGAGAATGCTGATCTATGGATTAGAGTTTAAGTTAAAGTTTTTGGGAATTGTCCTCTTGAGATAACCACCTACTTCGATTTTGTCCGGAGAGTTTTTCGGTTTTCATACCATCCCTGTCCTTATGTGGCTTGTCTCCTGTAACAGATTTGTGTTTAAGTAAATGTAGATGAGATTCCGGAAGTTTCTGAAAAAAATGCTGAATGTAAATACTAGAAAATCGTGACTGTGATGGTAATTGTAGTAATGTGGTGTGGTGACGTCGCCATGAACCTATTTCGACTACATTATTAGCAATCAAAGACAATTGTTGTCGTTTGCTAATCTATCCTCAATACATATAGGTAGGTGGTACTCGGTCGACTTAACCAATTAGATCGCACTACAAAGGACCTTGGAAGAGAAGTAATGTTTTTAATGTAGTTGTGTTGTCCGAGCTAGGCGGTTTATTTGCTCAGAGGACACAACTACATCAAAATCATCTACATGAGCTACAAATCGTCTGCATCATATGATAAATAATGTAGTGGGGATGTATATGGCCGAGATGACGTAATCCGCTAGGGAGAATTGGTGAATTTGTTACGATTGAGAGCCACGTATGTTACGTGTCAAATATTTTTTATTAAATACCATCTTAACATATCTGTCGCCACCAGATATCCTCTTACTTTTATTGAGTTCTACTGAGACCGGAATGCAACTATCTACAATAGACGTGTGCCTACAGGACTGTCGCTTTTCCGAAAACCCTACTACATATGCTCTACTTCGTGGTATTATATCATGGGGATTTTTAATAGATGCATTTTTTAGAGGCCAATACAAGCACTTGAATCTAAGTAATACTGGGAAGTGGTAACCGACAGAATTTAATTTCGCTCTCATAGGTGAAGACATGGTTACATACATAAGTCGTTTGGTCTAATATAATATTGCTCTGTTGCATTTGCGATCAGAGTTAGCTTATCTCTGATCCAATGTTTGCTTTTAAAAATATGATAAGAATGAATCGGTCACTGGATCTAACTGTTCATTTCATTATGATTTTGGTTCTTTTACTTATTGGGATCAACATGTGTATCGGCGGAAATACTGACTGGCTAGTGAAAATGCCCCCCTTGTCGTTATGAAGTACAGGATACCTGTAAAATCAGTAGCATTATAGGAATCTGCCTTAGAAAATACGAATCTCTGTAGTTAGTGTGGATGCAACTGTGGTCCCACGTGCTTCAGGCTAAACAACCGAAGTTTCTTAGCCCTCGAGCGTCTAGTGTAACTTGTAGTCTGGTACGGAATCCGACACCTTGTCGCAGTAAGGTGTAATCAAGCGTTCACCGTTTTACGAATGAATGAGTGACCTGTGATTTTATGGGAGCCAGTTTGTGTGGGAACTTCAGCAACCACAGTATATTACTAAACAAGTTCTTAGTTAGGAAATGTTCCAGTCATTGGAACTGTACGCCTTATCGTGAAATATGATACAGTTCTGGTCAACAGCTTCAAAATGATGGCTGAGTGAAACTACAAAGTGAATGAGCGTACGGCCGATGTATTCCGAAACTCATGGAAAATTCCCATTGTAACATTTAGAAAATCAAAACAAGTGATTCAGCGAAGAGACTCTTTTCAACGAATTTATCATCAAGCTGTACAGTAGTATATATATGGTTTTTGAGAAGTTATATCCGGTGAGGGAATTGAATCTTAGGTGTGAATGCATAAAATAATAATAATCATATGAAGTTCAATTAAAACTAAAATGTTTGTGATTATAATCGTTGTTCAATGTCAAGTGGCAAAGCAAATTAATGTCATATACAGAATAATTCATAAGAGGGATAGAACTTGAAAAAGGGTGTGCAATTATAGGATTAGTAGACATATCGAATAAAACAAAAACGTTACGTACTATTGTGTGAAATTTAATAGCATAGAATTTATCGTTGTGAAAAGGAATTGATTTAGAATGACGAGTGGAACAAGTGAAATAATACCGGGGACAGTTCAAAGTGAGAATAGTAATAATAAAAATTGACTTAATAAGGAAGAGTATACAAATTGAATAGACAAAATGGAAAATTGGTAGAGCTAAGATATGATTGGGGATTGCGATATTTTAGCATAGAGGGATTAAGACCATGTAAGTTAGAGGGGTTGAACGAACTTTTTCTGTACACAGAGATCTGGCTTTTCTGTTTCGATAGCCAAAGCTTCAGCAATACAGATGAGTCGGGTACGTAGGGATTTGGGTAGATTGCTCTTTGCCTTGTAGATGACTTTAAAGGCGGAGGCTATAGAGATAGGGTGATCATTATCAACCAGATGTTCAATGATTGCGCTTCTTATTGCTCCACTTCCACATCTTCGTAACTACCATGCAGGATAGTGTTCTTGCAGCCTCTTGGACAAGGCTCGAGTCGAACGACCGATATACCTAGCTCCACAAGAGCAGATGAATTGATAAACACACATAGTGTTAGTCAACAGCAGGATCTTGTACTTCAGGTTATTGAACAATAATGGTCGGCTAGTAGACCATTATTGTTCAATAACCTGAAGTACAAGATCCTGCTGTTGTCTGTCTGTTTTCGACATAGAACTTTGCACACATGTGCAGAAGTTCAAGTCACCACACTCCGTGTAGCACACGAAGCAAGAGAAAGTACAAGAAAAGCATAATAGAAACAGTGAGCAGAGGTGTGAGACAAAGGAGTAATAAAGAAAAACAAAACAGTTTCATTGGAGATCATAAGTCGCAAGGAGTGGATGCATCTGCGCTAGCCACTGAGAATGATTTTGAGCCATGTCACCAATTGTTTCCAACCATAGATTTTTACCGTCCCGAGGACCCCAGCCTGGAAGTCTACACCTTCCTATGTGGCTTAGACCAACTGTTGTGGATTTCATTGACTGGTGCCAAGTTTTTGTTTGACCGCCGCTAGCTTTTTTCCAGCCTGACCCTATGTCAGCTAACATTTCCCGTCGAGGAAGGCGATGGCTAGGAATGCACGCGCAACACATGTCCTAACCATCTTAATTGGTGTAACTTCACATCTTCGTCGATTGATTTCCCCTCTCACCTACCTAGCACTCGACGCCTAACCTCAATATTGCTCACCTCATCATACCACTCCGCACGGGAGAAAGAACGCAACCACCTATGATCAGAGACAGCTAATCTCTTCATGTCTTCCACTCTCAATGGCCAGGTCTCACAGCGATAAAGGAAGACAGAGAGGACTGCTGAGCAGTACACGAGCCTTTCGGTTGACAGCTTTATATTACGTCTACGCCAAAGATGGATTAAATTGGCAGGCTGATGGTACTTCCTGAATAGGTGAAGTGGTCAACGTGCTCAATCACTTCGCTCCCTATTTCTTAACTAGGAGTCAGTGTAGTCCAGTCCTGTAACATTATCTTACATTTGGAGGGAGTGAATCGCATGCCAAAGATTCGTAGATTGCAGCTCAAGGTGTTCATAAGACTCTGCATTTTGTCAACGTCCTCGCCTAGAAGGACTATATCGAAGTAAAAATATACCACCGCAAAACTGTGACTTCGTAGCAGTATGCTCCATTTAGAACGTAAAGGAATGATATAAAAACGAAAGTGGGGTGCATTTCTCAGTGTTGGCTGACTAATCCTCCACTAGCTTTTCTACACTAAACTAGCGAATAAACAAAACACAACATAAAATCAATCTACAACAATTAGTTTATTGTAATAACATGGAATAGAATATTAAAATAAATTAACATTTTGTAGACTCTAAAGCTGCTTTAGCCCGAGTAAATGCTGATATAAATGCACTCAATTGTAGTCTTTCAGATGAACCTTGTGACATACGTTGTTCTATATCTGACATAGCAATCAATAAATCACAACGAACAGCATCCGGTAAGTCAACTAAACAATAAAAAAAAAACAACACAAAGATAATCAGTAATGAAAAGTACAAAACGAAATTCTTAAGCAAATTGACATTTAAGCTTTTAATTGACAGCTGGGAGTTGTATTCGCCAACAGGTTAAGCTTAAACATTTGTAAGAATTATATTTGTAAAATCTCAGCGAAATTGAAATGAGTAATTCCAAATTTCGGCAAACTGGTCCGAACTTCTCCAGGGAGATTAATCGAGATTAAAATAACAGGTTTATGTGTAAAAAGGGCATCTCTTATTCTGAAAAACTCATATGATTGGACAAAGTTTTTAAAAAAAACAAGACGTCCTTATTATGTATGAACTCATGGAAAATTCCCATTGTTAGCATACAAGAAATCAGAACAAGTGATCCAATAACGAATTTGTTATCAAGCTGTACAATCGTAATAATGTTTATTTTTAAGAAATTATATCCAGTGAGGGAATGGAATCATTAGGCGTGAATGCATAAGATAATAGTTCTTTTTTTAGTGCGGTTAGGACGCTCACCGACCATGCACATGGTCCGGGGTTCGATCCCCGGCCACAGATGCACTCCTTTACCTCGTTAAGCCAGAAATAGAAAGATGCCAAAGAGGAAAGGTTGGGCATGAGGCTAGCAATCCCATCCTGTACAAAAAACAATGTTACAGAAACTTCGGGCCATTAGCTTGAAGCCCTATGTTCCACTGGGGAACGTGAAGGAAAAAAAATGGAACTCTGTTGTTCTTCTATACTACTGTTCTTCTTTCCACATACTTCTGTCTATTATCTCTCTTTTTTAGAATCTCTCTCTATTCTCTTCTGTTGCTTTGTGTGTTACGTGAAGTGTGGGAGCTCGCAGTGCTGCAGATCTGTGCAAAGTTCTACGTTGAAACCAGCCAGTCACTCCAATCAATGTGGGCGATATTGTACTCCTAGGTGAAGACGCTGCCAAATGCGGAATCTTCTCAACGACGGGTCTACACTGACTCCCGGTTTAGAGAAGAGAGAAAAATAGGACAATTCATAGGATGTATAGAATTTAGAAGGGTTGTGAGACTATAGGATTACTTGCAAGTAAAATAAAAATGAAAGCGTTACGCAACATTGTGTAAAATTTGCTAACACAGAATTTAGAGCTGCAAAACAAATTTGGTTTATAATGACGAGTGGAATAATACCGGAGACAATTCAAAGTGAGAGTAGTAATAGTAGTAACAATTGAGGAGTATTCAAACTGAATGAATATAACGAAAAATAATTGGACAAAAATATGAGTGAGGATTATCATAATTTAGTATAGAGCGATTAAAACCATGAAAGTTGAAGGGGTTGAACAAACATGTTCTGGTGGTATTAGATGGTTGGAGGCAATCGGCAATCAAATCAATGTGCGCCGTGATGGCGAGCTAGCTAGAATGGTGGTCACATTACAACCTGACTGATAGAATTCAGTCTACACCAATCAGAGGACTAGAAGCATCACACTAGTTACTAGTGTCAAACCAAAACATGTTCTGTTTACAGGAATCTCGCTTCTCTAGTTCGATGGCCAAAGCTTCAGAAATACAGATGAGTTGGGTACGTAGGGATTCGGGTAAATTACCCTTTGCCTTGTAGATGACTTTAAAGGTGGAGGCTGTAGAGACAGACTGATCATTATCAACCAGATGTTCAATGATTGCGCTTCTTATTGCTCCACTTCCACCTCTTCGTAACTACCATGCAGGATAGTGTTCTTGCACCCTCTTGGGCAAGACTCGAGTCGAACGACCGATATACCTAGCTCCACAAGAGCAGGTTAGTTGATAAACGCACATAGAGTTGGTCAACAGCAGGATCTTGTACTTCAGGTTATTGAACAATAATGGTCTACGGGAAAACGCAGGGAATGTTTTTTTTCAGGGACTGTGAGAACCTTCTTTTCATGATATCAGAAGCTAAGTCACCTTTTTTACTTTTAACTATGATTATAATAATTATAATCACAAATAATTCAATTGCATTTCATACTACTATTATTTTATGCATTCACACCAAATGATTCGATTCCCTCACCGGATATAATTTCTTGAAAAACCATATATGTATAGAACTGTACAACTTGATAACAAATTCGTTGTTGGAAACAGTTTCTTCGCTGAATCACTTGTTTTGATTACATATAAATCTCTGTTATTTTAATTTCGATTAATTTCCCTGAAGAAGTTCCGACCAGTTTGTCGAACGTATGAAACGTTGGAATTACTCATTTCAATTTCTCTGGGATTTTGCAAATATAATTTTTACAAATGTCTACTTCTCACTCGGCACCCAATTGTTTGGGAACTATTCTGTCAAATCTTGATCACAATTCGTTTATATGAAGGTTGAGCTTAAGAGTGCATGGCACATAATAATATTCCTGTACCAGATTATGTTGTAGTGTGTGGGGGTTCGAATCGATGACTGACACTCATCACCTGAAAGTCAAGTCTTTAACGAGCACAAACGATATCCTTATACAAATGAAACTACTACTTAACATCCCAATTATTCTGTGGAAAACAATTTCAGTTAATAGGATTTAATCTTTTTTTACTTCACGTTCCCCAGTGGAACATATGGCCTCAAGCTAGTGGCTTGAAGCTTCTGTAACATTGTTTTTTGTACAGGATGGGATTGCTAGCCTTATGCCCAACCTTTCCTCTTTACCAGAATTATTACTGGCTTAGCGAGGCAAAGGAGTGTGTCGGTGGCCGGGGATCGAACCCCGGACCATGTACACGGTCGGCAAGTGTCCTAACCGCTGTGCCACCGACGCACCGGATTTAATCTAAACGCCCTAAACACTTATACAAACAGTTAGAAGACACAATTTTACAATAGCCGTTTTTTTAGAGCCTCATTAGTGTGTACCATTCACCGATAATTTTTCTATAATTATATGAGAAAAGCTGAAATTTGAGCGTGCAGTTGTTACGTTCTCCAATCAAGACATTTCGCATTTTTGCTTGTTGTAAGTTGTAAGTCAGTTGGTGAAAAGCTACAGACAAAGGATATTGTGCTTGTAGACAAGGTCATCAGGTGGTAGACTTATATCCCCCTTTACTTTAAATTTGAGTGTCACTTCGTACGGAACATTGGAAACTTACCACCAAACTACTTAGGACACCCCCCTCGTGTGGTTGTCGATCGGTAACACAAATCTCCCAAAAATTCACAGACACACTGTGATGAATGCACATAAACAAGAAAGCTATACACCATAAGTCATATTAATATGTGTAAAACTTGGGCACTGTGGTAGTAGTAAGTAATTCCATATTAGTTTGTTTATAAGATGCATCACACAGTAAGTGAAACAGTATTATTTACTGGATGAAGGGAAGCTTCCAATGTTAGATTACAGCGTGAAAAGGAAAGAAGATGGGAAGTTAAACACTAGTGTTTACAGAAAACCCACACATTCAAACAGATATGTGGACTTCCGATCATCCCACCCTATGTCAGTAAAAATAGGATTGGTAAAATGTTTAAAAACTAAGTAGTACCAAGGAGAATCTAAGGCAGGAAGTGATACACATAAAAGAAGCCTGATAAATTAGTCAGGAAACATTTAAGGAAACGAAAAAATAAAATAAATAATGATAGTAGCGATGGTGATAATAATAATAATGACGACATGCATGTCAAATATGCGCAAGACAACACCAACAATAAGGGATCTAAATCATCAATAGTAATTCCATACAAGGAGGGAACCTCGGAAACCTTACGCGGAATTTTTAACAAGGCAGGAATAAAATTGGCTGGCATTCCAACACAACAAACTCAATTAGAAACAAGCTTTGTTGGTTCAAGGATCAATCCTGTGGAGCTTTCAAAACAAAACAATTTAGTTTATGTAATACCCTGCCTGCAATTATTGTCAGGTCAAATACATAGGTCAAACTAGTAGAACAGGGGCAGTCAGACGAGCCGGACATAAAAACCTAGCAGCAAAATCTAGATTAGCTGACCCGGATAAGATAAGAAATCTAGAAAATTATTCAGCTATAGCACTACACTACATGCAGTCACACACAACCATATCATATGATGGATGGGATATTATTATTATTGTATCCTTTAGTTCCTAGAGGAACATAGGGCTTCAGCTGCGCACCTCCATTGACTTCGGTTTTCTGACAACTTTTTCAACCTGCTCCAGGTCTGTCCACATGCTTTCATCTCCTCCTCGCATGACCTCCTCCAAGTCACCCTTGGACGACCAACTCGCCGCCTCCCTTTCGGGTTCCACTCGAGGGCTTGTCTAGTGATATCACTTGATGGTTTCCTCAGCGTATGGCCAATCCATCTCCATTTCTTTCTGCCTATTTGTTTCACAATCGGTTCCTGATTGGTTCGCTCCCAGAGATCCCTGTTGCTGATCTTTTCTGGCCATCTGATCTTGAGTATTGAGCGGAGACAGTTGTTAATGAAGGTTTGAAGTTTGTTTGAGATGCTCTTTATGACTCGCCAAGTCTCTGATCCGTATAGTAGCACTGACTTCACATTGGAGTTGAAAATCCGGATCTTATTTTTGATGCTGATTGCTGTTGACCTCCACACAGATTTGAGAGTAATGAAAGCTTGTCTTGCTTTTCCGATTCTGGCTTTGATGTCCTCGTCAGTTCCGCCTGTAGTTGAGACGATGCTTCCCAGGTAGGTGAAGGAGGTTGTTTCTTTCAGGTTCTTCCCATTTATGCTTATTGTGGTCTGTTGGTGTTGTTGATGTTGGCTAGGAATCTTCATTATCTCTGTTTTATCTATGTTCACGTGAAGTCCTATCTTTGATGCTTCTTCTGCCAACTTGTTACTTTTCACTTGCATATCTTCCAGTTTATGGGAAATCAGACATATATCATCGGCGAAATCCAGATCCTCCAAGTCTTTTGTGTCAGTCCATTTTATGCCTGTTCCCTCGTTGGTTGCCGTTGTCTGTCGCATTATCCAATCAATTGCAATCAGGAAGATCATTGGTGATAGTAGACAGCCTTGCCTCACTCCCGTCCTCACTTCGAAGGCTTCCGTAAGTTTCCCGTTGTGGATTACTTGGCATGCAGCATTGTCGTATAACTGTTGGATGAGGTGTATAATTGTCGATGGGACCCCGTAGTAGCGAAGTAGTTTCCAAATGACCTCTCGATCGACGCTGTCGAAGGCCTTTTCAAAGTCGATGAAGTTGAGATAGAGAGGTGACTGCCATTCCAAGCTTTGTTCAATGATGATCCGTAGAGTGGCGATTTGATCAATACATGATTTGTTTCTCCTGAATCCAGCCTGTTCCGGACGAAGTTTTTCATCTAGGGCTTGTTTGATTCTCTCCAGGATGATGCGACTTAGTATCTTGCTTGGAATGGACAGAAGCATAATTCCACGCCAGTTTTTACATTGACTTAAGTCTCCTTTCTTTGGAAGTTTGAATAAGTAACTGTTCTTCCAATCCTCGGGTACTTTGCCCTCTTTCCACACCTTCTCCAGTAGTGGTGTCATCAAGTCCGCTGTTGTCTCTGGGTTTATTTTCAAAGTCTCTGCTGGGATTCCATCTGGTCCCGGTGTTTTCCCAGCTTTAAGCATCTTGATTGCATTCAGGACTTCTGATTTCGTCGGGGGGTCAGTGTTCACTGGTAGTTCTGCTTCCGTTGTTGGTATTGCTGGACGTGTTGTAGGTGGCGGACGATTTAGAAGTCTTTTGAAGTGTTCAACCCAGTGCTTTCTCTGTTCCACCTCTTTGGTGATTGACTTTCCATTGTCGTCCTTTATTGGCTTAATCTGTGTCGAACGTTTGCCCGAAAGGTTCCTAGTTGTTTGGATAGGATGACAGTTTTAAAATCTAATATGGCTGCAGGTTGAAGGGAGAGATTGATAACAGAAGCTTTGTTTACCAAATCAACTGCTAATACATGTAATAGGAATGATTCAACACCTGTCCCAGATGTATGGAAAATTCTACTGCCCATACGACAAATAGGAGACGACAAAGAAAACTATAAAACTCAAGTTTCAAAGTTGTGTGATTATAATTGATAACATGATTATGAATAATAATAAATATTGTTCAAAACTTTATCATTCAGTAAATAATACTGTTTCACTGTGTGATACATTTAATAAACCAACTAATATGGAAAAGCTATACACACTCAATTCCAACTAATTTCTAACGTATATAACATTCGATGACAATACGTAGGTAGGAAGGTTTGAGCTTATATTATTAACTACAACGAGCCAAAAATTGACAGTACGCCTTGGACTAAAACGTTACACTGCTTATCATCGTCAGGCATTTGACTTGATTACTTCCTAAGTTATATACGAAGGCGGAAAAACTAAAAACAGAGAACATTATCTCTTTGATAGCAAGCAGTCTTTCTGACCGATATAGGTGAATGGTGATCAGTCAGGCTTTATGTACTTTTGAAAGTGTGTGGTCAAGTTGTTAATTCCCGGCCACCCACATCATAGAAGGAAATTTTTTCCTGTGGTACCTGAAACAGCAGGAACCTCTATTGGTGTTGCATGACTGCAAAGATCAGAGGGCAACTGCTTGAGATCGATTGTAAAAGGCTTGTTTAAAGTTGTCTCCACCGCGATGGAGCATAGTTGGCTTGCTGCTGATCACCTGAGGGAAACGCCTTACTGCTGTTACATCCCTATCACCAAGCAGTACAACTTCGCCCACAGAAACTCCCACCCTCCAACATAGTGTAACCTACGATGACAACTGCTTTTAGTCTAAATGCCATCCAAACGACCTTCTTAGTGTAGTAGAACCTGCAGGAATCTTAGTCCAAACCAATATACCTCTTCCAGTCATTACGATATGCGATCCCGACTACCACGTGGAGGTAGTACCTGTCGGTGGCGAAATAGCCTTTGCTAACCATAGTATACAACTTGAAGTGCTGATATATATATATATATATTTTTAATCTTGAATGATTTGAAGCAGGATCTTTCTTCTAGGGGGAAATGTGTGTGTGTGTATGGGAGAGAGAGAGAAACATAGGTGGAACTTACTTCGCATTATCAAAGGATGAATTTCTGTGATGATATCCTGAAGTGCGATTCCCTTTAAATTCTTTGCAGTTACAATGTCTGAAAATAAAAATATAAAAGAAATAAAATAAAATTGGAAATGCATAAAATACGAGCAAACAAACAATGTATAGAGGTTTACGAGATTACCACATCTAATATCTGCACACAGTGAATATAAAGTGAAAAAAGAGAGAACAAACACAATAGCAAAAGTAATAAAACTACTAACTGATTGAGTCCTCAATAGAGAATTTTACACAAAAATGCGGCAGTTCAAACTGAAAAGAAAGGTAGGAAAAACAGTCAAAAGAAGTCTGTCTGTCTGTTTCCGACATAGAACTTTGCACCGATGTGCACCACTTCAAGTTGTCACACGCCTTGTAGCATACGAAGCAACAGAAGGAAGTAGAAGAAATTCATAATTGAGACAGTAAACAGAGGTGTGACACAGGAATAGTAATAACGAAGAACAATATAGTTTCAGTGGAAATCACAAGGAGTGGATGTATCTTCGCCAGCCAGTCAGCCATTGAGAACGATTTTGAGCCATATCACCAATTGTCTCCAGTCATTGGCTTTTACCGTCCCGAGGACGTCAACCAATCAGGAAGTGTACACCTTCCTACGTGACCGGTTAGTTTAACTAACCGTTGTGGACTTCAGTGACTGATGAAGCCATGTTTTGGTTTGACCACCGCTAGCTCTTTTCCAGACTGACCCTATGTCAGCTAACATTGCCAGTTGTCGAGGAAGGCGATGACCAGGCATACATAACACATGTCCAGTCAAAAGAAGTATCATGACTCAATAGATGAACGCACCACTGGGAATGATTTTGAGTCATATCACCAATAGGTCTCTACACATTGATTCTTGGTGTTCTGAGACACCCAATCAGGCAATTTACACTTCCCTATATGGTTCAGACCAACTGTCAATGACTTCACTGGCTGATGCCAAGTTTTGGTTTGACCACCTCCCACCCCCCTAACTCTTTCATCAGAAACCAACCATATATCAGCTAAAATCGCTGGCCGAGGAAGACGGTAAATCGGTAATCGCAAAAGTGTCCAAGTCAACGTAATCGATATAACATTTACAACATAATCATCTGAATCACCCTTCTTACCTGACACAAAATCATTAACTCAAATATATTATTCAGCATACTGTACCATTTTGATGTGGGAGATAGGAAGCAAGCATCTTTCAGGTCTTCCACTTTCAATGGTCATGTCTCAAAGCCATAAAGGAAGGCAGGGAGGACTGTACATGTCCTGTGCTCGATAACCGTATACCACGTCTACACCAGAGATTATGTAAGTTGGTAAGTGCCAAACGAGCCTTTTGTATCCAAGCTGAGATTTCGTCAGCAATCAGTGCATTAGGGCTGTTATAACTGCACTGAATTAAGGTAAAACCCCGTCGCCAATTGTTATAACTGCAATGAATTAAGGTAAAACCCCGTCGCCAATTTGTTATAACGGTAGGGAATTGAATGAAGTCGTTTTCACCTTATTCTGTCTGCGCCTGAACTAATCTGCCTATCTGCTCGTCGTACCTTCCGACTTAGGAAAGCACGCAAATATCAAAAGACAAAGGCTGGACTGTGACTGTGTATTGAGGTGCAACAACGATAAAGAAAGCCATGGTATTTATACATTTTACAACAATATGGAGAGCTAACAGCATTTGAAATAATTGACCTTAATAGCCAATAACAAAGTGTGTGAGAAATGATAATATGCCATATGTGCGACATTGACAGTCAGTAACAAAATGTGTGGGAATCATAATATACCATATATATAAAATTAGCAGTCACTACCAAAATGCGTGAGAATGATAATATACAAAATTAGCAGTCACTACCAAAATGCGTGAGAATGATAACATACCATATATGCAAGTTTAAACAGTCAATACCAAAATATGTGGGATCCTATCAAGGGCTGACGTCACTTCCAGAATACGTGAAGAGAAACGCTTTTGGAAGTGTGTGGGTGGTTATTACTTGCCGGCCGCCCACACCGTGGAAGTTGATTGATTCTTCGGGTACGCGAAACAGTGTTGCGTGACCGCAGAGCCCAGGGGACAACTGCTTGAGGCCGGTCACACACGGCCTGTATGAAATCGTTTCTGGGATTGGTTCCGTATTAGTAAACTTACCGCCGGTTACGGAGCACCGTAAGGTAAGTGAGGATGTACAATTTTTGGGGTCGACCTTTTCTAACCCCGTCTCTCCAGAGTGGATACAGCATAGCTGGTGGCTGGCATGCTGGCCATCTGAGGGAGACACTTCATTGCTGTTACACTCCTGTTCCCCAGGAGTACGACTTCGCCCACATACCCCCAGAATAGTGTAAGAAAGATTCTTACACTAAGCCGGTAACTGCTTTTAGTCTAAACGCTATCCTAACAACCTTTCTGGCATGTTAGGACCCGTAGGAACATTGGTTCCAGCCAGTGTAGCTTGTCGGGTAATCGCGATATGCAAGCCCGACCACCACGTCAAGGTAGCAGCTATCGGTCAGGAAGGGAAACGCACCAATCCCCACCCACTTCCCTTCTTTAAACCGGGAGTTAGTGCAGACCCATCGTTGAGAAGACTCCGCATTTGGCAGCGTCTTCACTTAGGAGTACAATATCACCCACACATTGATTGAGTGACTGGCTGGTTTCAACGTAGAACTTTGCACAGATGTGCAGCACTGCGAGTTACCATACTTCATGTAGCACACAAAGCAACAGAAGAGAGTAGGGAGAGATTCAAAAGCGAGATAATAAACAAAAGTATGCGGAAAGAAGAACAATGGAGTTTCATTGGGTATGACAAATCATAAAGTGTAAATGCATCTACACCACCACCGAGAACGATTTTGAGCCATATCATCAATTGTCTCCAGCCATTGGTTTTTCCATCCCGACAGCCCCAACCAGGAAGTCTGCATCTCCCTACGTGGTTGTCTTAAACTAATTGTTGTGGATTTCATTGACCGATGAAGCCATGTTTTCGTTTGACCACTACTGGCTCTTTTCAAGCATGATCCTGAGTTAGTTAACATTGCCTGTCAAAGAAGGCGATGCCTAGGTATAAGTAGCACATGTTCTAACCATCTCAGTCGATGCAATTGTTTCGCAGACTCGTCTATTGATTCCCTCTCCCAACCTAGCACTCAACGCCTAACCTCAATATTACTCACCTTATTATACCACTTCATGTGGGAGATAGAATGCCAACCTTTTCATGTCTTCCACTCTCAATGGCCGGATCTCATAGCCATAAAGGAGGACGGAGACGACTGCTGAGCAGCACACACGCTCTTTGGTCGACAGCTGGATATCACGTCTACGCCAAAGATGGAGTGAATTGGCACATACCAAACGAGCCTTCTGTATCCGTGCCGGGATTTCGTCAGCGATCAACCCACTGGCGTTGGCTGGTCACACTCTACCACTTCACTCCCTATCTTTAAGTTAGGAGTCAATGCAGTTCAGTCCTGTAACCTCACCTTACATTTGACAGGAACCCCCATACTAGAATGATAGGCAGCAGTGTTTAGGTCGCAGAATGGACATTCTATGCCCACAGCGCAGAGTAAAATTCACCAACTTTATAAACTAGTGCTATGTGTTGATACGTATACAAAATTTCGGTTTTTCTTTTCAATCTGTGTATCTCAATACCTGCAAGTGTCATTGTTCTACTATGTCATAAATTCTTTAAAAAGGCCTATTTATTACCTCGCATACACAAGGATGTTAAATGAATACTGTGGCTTGAGACATTACGAACAATAAGGAATCACAAAAATTAAAGGAATTTTACTTACTTTGGTATGCAGTACTTAAAGGTTCATTCAGTACATGATCTAGAAGTGAACGAACTTCATCCGGTGATGGATAGGCAACACAAGCGTAAACAGCTGATCCATCAACAGTTTCCGATGACATCGATGCACTCTACAAAATGAAAAAAGTATGAATCATATTTTTTGGCGGTTAAACATGACAGACAAATAAAACAGAATTAATTAGTGAGTAAATGACGTTCTAATAGTCATAAAAGGTATTTTATATGTGTATTGTATAAAACACTTGAATAATCTATGAACGTTTCAAGAATAAGAAGGATGATTTGAATAAATAACAATAATTTGCTTTATTCCAGAAACAGTACTAGCGGTACAGTGTGGAATTTTCAACACGTATTTACAATATTGCATTTAATTTTATCAAACATTTAAAAGGAGTATTTCAAAAAATAAATATAAAAAACAACAACAAAAACAAAATAATAACAAAAAATGCTAAAAAAAAAAATACGAAAAAGTAGAAAGGAAAATCAACAGCATAATAAATAACACCTCAGTATTGGGTAGTGGAAGCTCTGATATGTTTATGCGTGGTGACAGTAAAGCTGTAATCATACAAGAAGTTATGAAATGTAATTAAGAATGTTTTTAGCCAAGATGATCAGTTAATTTGATTGAACAACACTAAACAATCATAAAATAAACATTTCAGGTTGTGTTTTTATTGTCAGCTTTAATGCGGTGTTTGTAGTGGTAGTGTGAGCAATCCTGCATAATACAAAAATTTTTAAGATGGTGATAATGGCGTTTACAACCAAGATTGTCAGTTAATATCGCGCTTAACACTGTCTCTGTCACTTAGAACACGGGCCAAATATGGTATCGTTGAATTCCTATGCTTGGTTGTACAAGCATATATATTATTTTGTACTGATTTCTGGTTCTACCTGATGAGATGCAAGGAGAGAGTTGGGAATAGAGGGGGTGTTGGGGGTCGGAGAGTATGCTTTTAGATCATTTTTCGCATGCATTCAAATGCCCTTCTACTAATGTAGTAGCAAGCTGACTGAGTTTTACACCACTAGTCCTACTAACTACTTTCAACATCCTTCTCAGGATGGTATAGTCCTTTTTCAGTAGCGCAGGAAAGACTAATACGGAGCAGTAAAGTAGAATAGGTAGGATACGAGAGTTGACAAATTGTGAAAGTAGAGGTTGGGTGATTCCGGATATTCTGAGTTTCTTAATGTAGTAGGTTATACGAAACACCTTCTTAGAAATCGTTAGGATATGGGATGACCAAGTAAGGTCGGAAGATAGAACCAGTCCGAGGTATTTTGCATTAGACTTTGTTTCAATTTTAGTCCCCTCAATGCTACAGGCTTCATGAGTACTTACTAGTGTTAGTAGATCTCGTTTATGCGTAAAGGACAAGTCAATAGTCTGGCATTTTGAGGGATTCAGCGTGAGGCAATTTAGTTTAGACCACTGACTGATGTCCGACAGGAAGCTATTTAATTTGAAACAGTCTGACTGAGACTTAACGGGAAGCTAAACAGTCAGGTCATCTGCATATTTGACGAAGTTGATTTCGTCTGAAAGAGGTAAGTCATGTAGGAAAAAGGAAAAGAGAAACAGCGACAGAATAGCACCCTGAGGAACACCAGCTTCAGTAAGCAAAGGAGAGAAAGATACACCATTATATACCGTGTACTGCATCCTATTAGAGAAGTAAGAGTGCAGCCAGTTGATAGCCCAGGACTCAGTTTGTGTAAGGCTAAGCTTCTTTAACAAAAGGCCTCTAGGTACAGAGTCGAAAGCAGATGTATAATCAAGGAACGTAAAACGGACATACTTGGCCCCTTTGTCTAAGGAGGGTACAATGTTGTGATGAAACACAGGAGGTTGATCAAACTTTTAAATATTAAATTGATGAATTTATAAGAAGTACTCAGAACAGTGAAAGGTTTAGTGAAAATATAATTGAAGATGTGATATCGTGGTGACAAAGGGTAAATGTCTCTTGATGAGAGAATCTCACGAGTACTGTGCGGTAAAATGAGCTGACAAACTTATGTACATTTACTTCTGGATTTGATCGATTTCAATCAAAAATCTCTGCAAACCAATGCCTGGAAACTAATCTCTAATGGGGAATCGTAATTAGCAGGGTCTACCTACCAAGTTGAGTGTGAGAACAAATACTTGTAGGTGACATTGGTTGGCTGTCGCACCATATATGTATACCGCCGACTGGTAGAAGTTAAAATTGAAGGAACAAAGGATTCCATTCCTAGTGGTTGAATGCTCAACCTGAAGGTACTGGGTTATATCCCTAGCAGCATGATAGGTGTGCAATGATAATGATGACGGTATAATAAGGTGAGCAATATTGAGATTATGCTTCGGTCGAGTGCTAGGTAAAGAGCGGAAATCAATAGACGAGGCTATGAAGTTACATCGACTGAGATGGTTAGGATATGTGTTACGTATGCCTAGTCATCGCCTTCCTCGACTCGACGGGCAATATTAGCTGATATAGGGTCAGGCTGGAAAAGAGCTAGCGGCGGTCGAATCAAAACATGGCTTCAACAGTCACTGAAATCCACAACAGTTAGTTTAAGCCACATAGGAAGGTGTAGACTTCCTGACTGTTTGAGGTCCTCGGGACGGTAAAAGCCAATGGTTGGAAACAATTGGTGATATGGCTCAAAATCGTTCTCAATGGCTGGCTGGCTGGCGAAGATGCATCCACTCCTTGTGACTTCCAATGAAACTAAATCGTTCTTCGCTATTACTATTCCTTTGTCTCACACCTCTGTTTACTGTTTCTATTATGCATTTCTTCTACTTTCTTCTGTCGCTTTGTGTGCTACATGGAGGGAGTGTGGCGACCTGAACTGGTGGACATCGGTGCAAGGTTCTATGTCGAAAACAGACAGACAGTAATGATGAAGGGTCACAAAGCAGTACTCTCTAGTTCTTAATCGTTGTCTAACTGAAGCCAATTCATAATACAAAACTTGAAAACTAATTAAATCTGTTTGACATAATTAATGTAGTGTCATGTGTAGACAAGGTATTCAACTTTCAGCCTGTTGGTCCCATATTTGAATCCCTCGTCAGTCAGAACAACTGGACAGTAGGCAAAACCCACAGGCGCCCACAATAAGCGTGGCTTATAGCCTGGTACATGAAAAACTTGTTTCAGGTAATTGAGTTCATTCAATTATTTTACTTAATTAGTAAGCAGTAGCATTAAGGTCAAGATTACAACCAGCGTACTATGCAATGTGCATACATTCATTTAAACGATTTATGCTTCTTCGATCAGATAAAAGGATTAAACAGCATTTCATAGTTCTTTACATACAGCATCAATTGCTAAAAGAGCTTAAAAGAAATCAAACGTATTGTGTAAACTAATTCTGATACTTTAGTCTATCGAAAATGTGACTAAAAATTAATGATGACACCTGCATTGGCTAAATTAATTAACACTCTATACAATTACTGAAGGCGTTACTTTAAGTTCAGAAAACACCAATGGTTAATATCAAAGAATGGAGATGGATTAGACACAGGCTGAGGCGACAGTCAAATGACATCATGCGTCAGACCAGCTCTGGAGTCTCTGTTTTCGACATAGAACTTTTAACAGATGTGCACCAGTTCAAGTCACCACACTCCCTCCATGTAGGACACGAAGCAACAGCAGAAAGTAGAAGAAATTCATAATTGAGACAGTAAACAGAGGTGTGAGACAAAGGAATAGTAATAGCGAAGAACAATATAGTTTCAGTGGAAATCATAAGTCACAAGGAGTGAATGCATCTGCGCCAGCCAGCCAGCCATTGAGAACGATTTTGAGCCATATCACCAATTGTCTCCAGTCATTGGCTTTTACCGTCCCGAGGACGTCAACCAATCAGGAAGTGTACACCTTCCTACGTGACCGGTTAGTTTAACTAACTGTTGTGGACTTCAGTGACTGATGAAGCCATGTTTTGGTTTTTTCCAGCCTGACCCTATATCAGCTAATATTGCCCGTCGAGTCGAGGAAGGCGATGACTAGGCATACGTAACATGTCCTAAACATCTCAGTCGATGTAACTTCATAGCCTCGTCTATTGATTTCCGCTCCTTACCTAGCACTCGACTCATGCCTAACCTCAACATTTTTCAACCTGTCGTACTACCTAACACGGGAGATAGAACTCAGAAACATATAACCAAAGACAGCTAATCTTTTCAGGTCTTCCACTCTCAATACAATACATGAAACCGTACTTTTAATTGGAAGCCAGTTAGTAACTAGTGTAAGGTGTCTAGTCCTTGGTGTTTGGTGCAGACTAAGTTCTATCAGTCAGTCAAGATTGCAGTGTGGCCACCATGCGTCACTAGGTGGCTCACCACCACGGTGCTCTTTGAATTGTTGATATCACCAGGTAGCTGAAGGAAATCGGCCACAGGAAGCTCTGCTTGATCTAGGTTTCGTGCTAGTTGGCACTTACCAGTCAGTCAATAAGGCGTATCTGCAACCTTGAGGGAACAACTCATGTCTCTCCTGAGATTCGAATGCGCGTCGTCCACTGCTACAGCCAGATACGTTACCAGATGCATTATAATGGATGGAAAATTAGGTAGTTCAATGATTTAAACAGGCCTGGCATTGGGTGATAAGAGTTTGAATCTCAGGAGGGATGTGAATTCCTTCAAGGTTGAAGATACGCCTTGTTTGCTGAGTGACAACTAGCACGAAACCTAGGTCAAGCAAGGCTTCCTGTGGCCGATTGCCTCTAACCATCTAACATTAACATGAAACCGTGTATAATTCTTACTATATACATGCAGTTGATGTTTAAAACTGTTAGTGTTGTTAGAACTCGGTTACTTTGAACAGATTTCTTATGCATCAGGCTTATATGGTGTTTGGCCGCTGAGTATGCAGTCTAGTTGCCCAAAGTTCAATTCAAAACCTGGACATATTCACTTGGAAGTGGAATGGTGAAGCCAATGCAAAAATGCTTTGTTGTGATATAATAAAGTGCTTTGTGAGCAACAATGTATTTAATAATACAAACTTTGCAAATATTCAATCAGTTTGGTCTAGTATAGTCAGGAAGATAATTGCATACATACAGCGCCTACATAGGTATACTCAATCGAATATGCGTTTAAAGTACGAATAATTGTTCAGAACTTAACTAAATACAATAATAATCATGGATTGTTTCGTAGGGGTTAGTTAGGAAGACCTTTGAAACCAGAAAATACTGGATAACTGTTTTGTCCTAGCTTGGGACTCATAAAAATTAATCTGAAGCCGGTTAGTGACTAGCTAAAGGACGATGTTGCCTGGAATTCTAGTGGGAAGTCGTGACCAGTGGGGTCCACCAGGCTGGGTATGAGTACAAATACTCGCCAGTAAGTAACACTGGCTAGTGGTTGCGCTAAAATCCCCAATAAGGTAGAAGTTGGAATTAGTGAACCATTGGATCAGACCCAGTGGACGAATGGTCTACGAGCTTACATTGTAACTAGGTCTCCAGTTTGAACACCGTTGGGTGCGTGCTGCCAAAGTCCCAAACTAGGAAGAAACGGCTATCCAACAATCCCTGGTCTTCAGCAGTTCTCTAGCTGATATCGATCCGTGACCAAGCTTGGAACAAGTCTAATGACAATAATGCGTATATCCGTCATTAGTGCGTTGGTGGTTCAGTGAGAGAATACTCGCCAGCCAGCTAATGACACTACAATCCTTGAAGTCCTACGTCTCACTCGAAACGTACAGAGTGAAAAAGAAGCCCGTATTATAATACACAAAGCCGCTTTACTGTAACTACCTATAACCCAAAAATATAGCCTACAATTTAATTAAAACTAGATGCGTGAAGTGCGAAGGGGGAACTAGTGAAACAGTGAGAGAAGTCAGGATGGAGACAAAACAAAGCATTTCTGGTTTTCTACAGTAGTTAAGTTTTCTTGTTTGACATAAAGATTAAAGATGCCATTCGTAATCAGCTACACTGCATTTAAGTGTTTGCGAAGAAGCCTTACATCATGTGAATTGTATTTAGATTTTTTGCGTGGTTAGTTGGAAAATCTCAACTGTTGTACATCTCAAAAGGTTAATTCTTAGTAAGACGAAGTGAACCGGTGGTCACCGTTAACATGTATATGTATGTAAAAAGCGAATAGATGAAAGTCTTGTCGTTACATGAAGCCTGACAACTAACAGCAAGAAGACGGATCACATACATAGACATTACCTGTAATAAGTTGATAGATTTCCGCATATCACCAGATGCGAACTGAAATATAGCCTTCACACCATCATCTGTCAAACGAACACTAAAGAGTAATAAGTAAACTTTCTCTTACCCTTCACTTGAAGCAATTTTTCGAAGACATAAACTGACATCATTAAACGCGAGTGGAGCGAAGCGGAACTTTGTACATCGTGACTGTATAGCGGGAATGATTTTAGACAAGTAGTTACATATGAGGCAAAAGCGAGTGTTTTCAGTAAACTTTTCGATAACTCGAAACGATGAGAATAAACACTTTAGTGTAAGATATCTTACTTCTACGTAGAGCATTTTGAGCATCTTTGGTCATAGAATCCGCTTCATCTAAAATAACCAGCTTGAATTTGCCACTGGAGAATTTATTAAACAACTTGATCTTACGCAAAAAGGGTCTTTGTGCTTGCAAAGCTTAACACTTGTTCACGAACAACGTCGATTCCACGATCATCAGATGCGTTTAGCTACAACAATATTGGTTTTGCATAGGCTCACCTCCAAGACCATAGAGTTAAACTGACGGGAATAAAGGCGCTTTGCTGCAGCCAGGATTGTGCTAGTCTTTCCTGTTCCAGGTGGTCCATAAAAGAGTAAATGTGGCAATCTGTCCTGATCGATGAATCTCGAGACTGCATTAGCAATTAACAACAGTCAAAATAAGTCATACTTGTTTTCGAAATGTCATCGTGGCTTATAAGGTCTTCTATGGAATTTGGTCTATATTTTTCAATCCTAAAGTAAGTCTTACGACAAAAATTGAATATACCAAGGAATGTCCATCTGTGACCGCCAAAAATTTTAATATTTGGCGGCCTACAGCAGTACCTTGATGTCAATGCAAATAAAACAATCGACCTTCAGTTTCCGAATTCACAAAAAAGTAAGAAGTAATGAGAATCCCTTTATATTCTGTGTCTATGAAACCTATACATACTGTGTAAGAATAAAGTGTTAGAGACATTACATTCCTTCGAAGAGGCTATAACCCCTTGCGCACTATTAGTAAAGAGTTGTTGCAGTACACCGGGCCAGCAACCTAAGCCCAACCAAACACGTCAAAAGATGATAAGAATGTTGCTTTTTTCAGAGTCTTATCGCATGAATAGATAACAGTTCTGAAATCTCAAGTGAAATTTACGTGGAGTCATTTCAGAAAGCTGCACACGCGGACGACAGCCCTACATCCCTTAGTCTGTTGCGAAGTTCGGAAGAATCTGCCCCCCGTGGATAAACTGGGAGCTTGTGAATTATCCAGGGTGAACATACGTGGTGGAACATGAATGTCATCCTTGGGACTTTCTGGGTAAAGAAACTTTACACTGTAAGAAGAAACAAAGCTTTTCAGGGCATCATAAGTCACAGTTGAAATTCAAAATTCGTTTATGATAATAATAATTTATATTTTCATATAAACATATAAATTTAAGTGAAAATGCATGCCATTTTTACAGGAACGATCAAGTATGATCTAATCCCAAATCGCAGACTATCTACAAGTTAATAATGTTTAAACAGTTAAATATTTGATATATATATATTTATATACACTCATTGTCTGAACCAGGCCGTATAGTTATTGAATTGTACATGTGTCATCCAGGTTGTGCGGGAAAATCGACTTCGTTTCGTTTAGCTCAAAAGGATCGGTACAACCCAGAATATTATTCTCATACGTGAACCTCAGGAACTAGACACCTAGTAACTGCAATCAAAGATGTTATCAAGGAGGATCAGGAGAAGGGTAAAGCAGCAGCACAATGCCTATCCAGAATCTTCACATAGGAGTCACCACCATCAACCGCATCAGGTCTTGCCTCACCATAGGAAAACAGGTTAGACCCTTTCTATGTTGACCAAAAAATCTTGTTCCCATTCCTTAGGAAATTAGCATAGGAAAGTCGAGAGGGACTTCTCAAAGAGCTAGCACCTCACTGCTGGTGCACCAACTACTTTATCCATGCCATCTCCCACATAAGGAGTGTTACTAGGTGATTGCGAGAGTGCAACACTGACATCAGCGTACAACTAATAATCTAACCGTTGTCTTCCGAACTACGGAGTACTAGCCTTAGTAGTACCTTGATCGATTTATTGGAAGAGTAAACAGGAAAACCCTCGTGGAATACTGGGAATTTATTATCAAATGTACGGCGCAGTCTCTTGAAGGCCTCTCGTGTCTCACAAACGTCAAAATAGGACAAGGCTAGGTGAGGTCCAGGGACAGCAATTACAATGGAAGCACCGATGGTGCTTTCATAAATTTCAGGTAGGCTTTCAACGAAATGAATGGCACAAGACTGCCTGTGAATCTGGAAAGTTTAACAGTTAGAGACCTCTTCATCTGGGTCAAATAATTTTCTTGAAGTAGCAGATGGAAGTTTGCGGTCGGAGTAGAGCCATTTTCCTAGGCCATAAACTTTTGTACTCAGGCCTCTATTTTTTATACTTTGTTCCACTGGACCATTTAGGGTCATCAAACTTCTTGTGGTTTCCTGAGAGGATAAAATAATAGTTTGGATAGAGCTGGAAGATGATAGTGACATATTAGGTCGGCTGGATAATGGATGTTTCCCATCAGTGTCACGAAGTGTGCAAGTACGCGCATTGGGCTTGCAAGCATCAGCGCATACAACACACATGGAACATCAGTCCCTTCAGTCCAGGTGCGCTCAGACCTAGATGCCACTGTACATTATAATCTAAAAACTGTAGCAGAGTCTGGTGTAATGGCAACACACAACTCTACATTTTTATGGGCAATATGCAGGGGTTTCACTCAAATCTCCGGTGGCATGTTCCCCAACTTATATACATCCCTAGAGAGGTCAAAACTAGAAATTCGGAGAGAGGCAGCCAGCCCTAGACCAAATTAAAACCCTCATAATCTAGGAATTATGCAAGGAAAGGCGACAGACGTGATTCATGGTATAAGCAACTTACTATACTTACTTATCTCGAAATCAGTAGAGATGAGCGCCTGTTATGGTGTTCAAAATTCTAAGAAGGGATTACAGACTTAATTTGTCTTCTCCTTCCCTTTGAGCAGCTCGGAAAGTCCTAGAGGATATGGCTGGAAAGTTCGAAAGCCAAGAAAGAACATTCTATTTGAGGAATCCCAGATCTTCAGATCTTGTATGTGGCTCACCAAAGAGGCAAGGTCTGCACTATTAGTTAATTTGTCCAGAAGGGAAATAAGCAAGCACATGTACTTGTTAGAAAGGGATCTGTAAAAAATGAATAGGACAGATGTGAACCGAATGAAAAGGGCCAGTCAGAGCAACTTGCAATACCTTTGTTCTGAAGGAAATGAGGTTTGTTGAGAACCGACATTTGTGTCCTTATCATATACTGGAATTGTTTGGTGAGCTCCAGCGTCGTGTGGTAGAGGTCGGTGATAGGAATTCGCAAGCACTGACACCATAAAATATTACAGTAAAATTGATTTTCTGAATGTAGCACACGTCAACGCAGTAATGTTTGTTTCCTGGAGGTGATATACATAGTTGCCATCGTTGGTGGTATCACCGAGGTATTTCCAAATGTCCTACTTCCGTTATTTCTCACTTTTCACTATATATTCCTGGCCCTGGCGCTACATTGCTCCTATCGACTGATTTGCGTGTGTATTTAGTGGACAAGATTTCAGCGGTCCAACCCCCTTTCCATCTGATGGTTTAAACGTTCACGTCTGTGTCTCTTTGCCATAGTATTGTATGACTACATAAGCGTTTGCACTGCAGAGAATAAGCTCCTCATATAACAATACTACAGCAAGCTGATTTTTGATGTTCTAACAACCAAACTGACTCCGGTCAATTAGCCAGCCCTATGTAGTCGACCAGATATTACTGAGAGTTATCTCTCAGAATGAATTATATTTTAAATACAAAAATATTGTGGTTTCTTCATTGGGGTATAAAAATGAAGCATCATATATGTAAATGTGTCTGACTACCTCCTCAAGAAGAAATAACAGGTGCAGTTCCTTAGGAAACCAGTTGGGCTTCTTGAATGGCTTTGAACTTGTAATCAATTTGTCTCGTGGTTGATATGTGGCTATCAGTCCCGTTGGACCTACGCGCTAGCCACATCACCCACCGTTTCGCTATCTGACGCACATAACCTGGTGACCAGACTGCCCTTAGCACAGCCACAACCAGCAGAAGGAGAACACTTATGGCTGCTGAAAAATGTATTTACTGACGGTGACGACAGTGTTAGGTTGATGATCACGCCAAAACGAAGCTGCTGATCTCTTGTCTCTCGAAAATTATGTTGAACAACGTGTGTTTCAATCCACATGGATAAACAAATTGATCACCGACGGTGAAACGGCTGAGGTTCAGTTGACCTGACAAATTTCTACAATCCCCTACAGTTCTCCCAAAGTTTATCTACGTTTACTGCCATTCTACATGAATGCCATGCTTTTAAGAGATGGTGGGGTGCTGACTCGGAGTATGATGTATGTCAGTGCAGGTTCTTATAAACACAAATCCTTAATTATTTTTATTGCTTAGAACAAACGTAAATCAAACCACTAAAATGACCGTCTGTTGTCTGGCCCCGTTGTCTTCTGTCGTTACACCAGTATTATGAAGACATGAGTCAGCGAAGAGATTTATCCACTTTCTTTAACTTCTCTTCAAAGCTGTACAGTTATTTCGGGCGGGCAGGGTGGTTGGGTTACAGTTATTGTCGGTTAGCAACAAAATAAATGAAAGTGTTTGAGGTACAACAAAGTTTGAAAAATTTTGGATAATCTCATGAAATTGGGGAAGTTGACAGCTGATTAGTTAATTAATGAATAATCCTCTCCAATGACCTTGAACGCATGCTTATCGTTGGCTAACGGCATCTGTCAGATAGCAGATATATCTATATATCTGCTAATCATATCCGCCCGCACTAAGCCCTCTGTGATTGGTTGTTGAGTTAGTCTTTCTTCTTGATTTTTTTCTCATGACCGAGATTTGGGATGTGTAAGCATTCACGTGAATTGGTGTCTATCAATTTTAGCTAGCAGACAGCTCTCACCACACTGGTTAGAATCTTCATGATTTAAAAGGTTAATTTCTCAATCATTTTATACTTTTTTGAATTACTCTGCGGACAGTGAATTGAAAGGGATGATGACATAATGATAGGAAAGCAATGAAAAAATTATCAAGGCTTAAACAGTTATTCTGTGTAGGATGAGTTGTAAACTGTTTCAACAAAGTTGTTCATAACTCTCAGTTGTACTGAATCACTAGTTTCGCTTCCAGATTATGAATTGGTTTGTAGGGATTTGACTTGTTCCAAGTTTGCCTATGTATGGATTGAGATATGTCGGAGAACTAAATCTTGAAAATTAATTTGATACTGGCCAACGAATAAGTGCAGGACGAAGTTGCCTCGAGTCATAGTGAGAAGTCGTGACCTACAGGGTTCATTCTGTCGAACGTGAGGACAAACAAATACTTGCCGATAATACTGTCTGCTGGTTGGAGTTGGAATTCATGAGCCATCGGATCAGGTCTTAGCAGTTGAATGGTCAACAAGCTTGATTTGTAGCCGGGAGGTCCTGGGCTCGAACCTTACAGGGTGGGTGCGTGCTTTCGACGGGTTCCAAGCTAGTATGCGACAGCTAGCTGTCCAGTACTGTTTGGTTTTCAATAGTCCTCTCACTGATATCAATCGGTGGTCAGACGTGAAACTTTCCGTTTCATTTTACTGACTTCAACGAGTCCAGTCAGGACTATCCAGTTTATGTAACCAGTAGTTTATCTCACATGAATTTCTTGCTACTCTTTGTCATTGATATGTATCCACATATATATATATATATTTATGTGTGTGTATGTTGGTCTCTCTTTCTGTTTGCTCGCTTAGTCTGTGACCATTTCACTTGTATGAACTTGTCTCCTTTAATAATGTGTATTCTCCTTATATTATATTATATATAATATGAGTGTTTGTTGACAGTCCGTTGCTTGGTGACATATATCCATACATGGTGGTTGTTGACATGTCTGTTATATTTCGCTATGTATATGTGGATCGATACTTCATTATAATTAGCCATTCATGTTAAGACTGTCTAATGATTGTTCACACCCTTGTCATATATATTTCGCTCACACAATTTGTGTGAACTACTTTACTTACTTACCACTTTGGTGTGAGACCATTTATTTTCGTCTCCTTGTGTTTGGACAATAGAAGTATCATCGCAAACCTAGTGGTCTTCTGATTTCCGCCTTCTTGCGTCAGGACTATTAGTTTCTCGACCAGTCCATAACAATAATTTAGCGACGAGTACATAACAATTTGGCGACGGGGAAAACTACTATTAACCACTCAGCAGCAGCAACATAACAATTTACTATGGATGTTTCTAAATTGGAATTATTGTTTGAACGACAAATGAAATTAATGGAAATGTTCGTCAACCAACAGACTGGTCCAGCTTCACCTTCAAGCAATCCCAATCATACCATGCTACCATCTGTCGACGGAATTGTGAACAGTATTTCACAGTTCAATTATGACCCAGAGGCTAATGTCACTTTTGACACATGGTATCAACGTTATGAGGATTTATTCACTGTTGATCTCGCCTCACAAGACGATGCCTGGAAGGTGCGAGTGTTGTTACGTAAATTGGGTCCGGCAGAATATGAACGGTACTGCAACCTAATTTTACCCAGAAACCACGTGACAAGTGTTTCGATGATACAATAAAGCTGCTGCGTGAACATTTTGGAGACCACTCCTCATTATTCAGCATACGTTATCGTGGCCTCAAGCTGACAATGAATGAAAATGATGATTTTCTTACTCACGTTGGCACAGTCAACCGAGAATGTGAGAGATTTCGACTCAGGTCCTTAACAGATGATCAATTCAAAGCCTTGATCCTCATATGCAGTCTCCAATCTCCTCGTTTCACAGATATCCGAACTCGACTGCTCAATCAGCTAGAACAAAATCCCAAGTTAACATTACATGACATAGCTGATGAATATCAACGGCTGATTAATCTGCAGAAAGACACACACCTGGTCGAATCAACACCTTCGAGAAGCTCTGATATTCGTGCATTACGAAAGAGCAAAAATCTCTCATCATCCAATCCTGACCCACCTTCTCTTAATGTCCCACGGAAATCTACACATACTCGTCCAACTTCACAAAATACTGCAAAGAAGACCCCACCATCACCATGCTGGCATTGTGGCGCGTGGCACTTTGTAAAGTCTTGTCCGTACAAAAATCATCGTTGCAGCAAGTGCAAAATCATCGGTCATAAAAATGGTTTTTGTCAGCCACGCAAACCCAGATGTCAAAATCCAGCAAAAGCTCAACAAACTGTTGGTCCTAAATCTCCAAAAAGATCATTGAGTCTACTCGCAACCTGTCAAGTCATAACTCCATGTATGCGGAAATATCTTGACCTTCAGATGAATGGTCATGATGCACGTCTGCAGCTAGATACCGCCTCTGATATTACTGTTATATCAGAGAAACTTTGGAATAATATTGGCAGACCACCAATCGTAAATACTTCTCAGACTGCTGTCAGCGCCTGTGGTGGGCGCCTCAAACTAATTGGTGAACTCGAATGTTCTGTTTCCTTCCGCGATATCAAATTCACAGGAATTTGTTACGTCACCAGGAGTGATTTAAATCTTTTGGGACTTGATTGGTTCGATCGTTTACATCTGGCTGATGTCCCACTTAGTTCTGTATGCAACGCAGTTAACAAGGATGAAAATTCAGCCAACTCCTTTTCTGATTTATGCAAACTATTCGCACCTGTTTTTCAGCCCGGATTAGGTCACTGTACCTCGCTGCAAGCTACCTTTCGAGTATTACCAGACGCAAAACCGGTTTTTCGCCCAAAGAGGCCAGTTCCATATGCATCTGTACCAAAAGTTGACGAAGAATTGGAGAGACTGCAACAACAAGGCGTATTAACACCAGTCACGTACTCGGCATGGGCAGCACCCATCGTCGTTGTCAAGAAAGCGAATGGGTCCCTACGTATTTGTGCTGATTTCTCTACTGGGTTGAATGCTGCATTAGAACAGCACCACTATCCTTTACCTACGCCGGATGATTTATTCACTGTTTTAAATGGTGGATCTTATTTTGCAAAACTGGATCTTGCTGACGCATATCTACAAGTGGAAGTAGCCCCAGAATGCCGAGAACTCCTTACCATTAATACACATCGCGGTTTGTTCCAATACAACAGATTACCTTTCGGAGTTAAAACTGCCCCAGCTATTTTCCAACAACTGATGGATACTATCTTGGCAGGTATTCCGGGTGTTGCCGTCTATCTTGATGATATCTTGGTGGTAGCGAATTCTATAAACGAACTTTACAGCAGGACAGAAGCTGTTTGTCACGCATGCAGGACAACGGTCTACGACTACGCTCAGAGAAGTGTCAGTTCTCCTTGAGATCTGTCAAATACCTTGGATTTATATTTGATGCATCGGGTAGACGTCCAGATCCTGACAACATACGTGCTATAAAAGAGATGCCCGCACCTACTGATGTGCCTTCCTTACGCTCTTTCTTGGGATTAATTAGCTATTACTCTGCATTTCTCCCTGCGCTGCATAATGTTCGACACCCCCTCAATCGACTACTCGAAAAGAATGCAACCTGGAAATGGTCCGAAGCTTGCAGATCAGCTTTTGAAAAGTTGAAGTCTATGTTAACTTCTGAATTGCTTCTGACACATTATAGTCCAACACTTCCAATTATAGTTGCAGCGGACGCTTCAGCAAGCGGAGTGGGAGCTGTCATTTTACATGTCTTCCCAGATGGTTCACAAAAAGCAATAATGCATGCATCTCGAACACTAACTGCGGCAGAAAAGAAATATGCACAAATTGAAAAAGAAGCCTTAGCTTTAGTTTTCGCCGTACGACGTTTTCATAAAATGATCTACGGCCGCCGATTTACCTTGCTGACAGATCATAAACCGTTACTTTCCATTTTCGGATCTAAATCAGGTATCCCGGTACATGCAGCTAACCGACTACAACGCTGGGCAATAATATTACTTGGATACGATTTCGATATTAAATACAACCGAACTAACGAATTTGGTCAAGCCGACGCTCTATCTCGGCTAATTAGCGACTATCCTGCATCAAGTGAAGATATGGTAATTGCATCGATCGCCACCAAAGACTATGCAGTTAACCTCATCGACAATGCTATTCGATCTCTACCAGTAACGTTTGCAGAAATCCAGCGAACTACAAGCACCGATGCCACCTTACGACGTGCTACACAGTATGTATCCAGTAATTGGCCAAAGATTAAATATAGTGGAGACCTAAAACACCTGTTTGCCCGTCGTGATTCCTTATGTGTTGTAAAAGATTGCTTGATGTTTGGAGAACGCGTAGTGATACCTGAAGCATTACGAAATAAACTCCTGAAACAGTTTCACATGGGACATCCTGGTATTCAGCGGATGAAGAGTATTGCTCGCAGCTACGCATACTGGCCTAATATGGATAAGCATATTATCGACTTTGTTCAACGATGTTCAAAATGTCAACAATCAGCAAAGCTACCCCACCAGCTACCTCCCGTACCGTGGCCTCCAGCATCCCATCCTTGGTCCAGAATTCATATTGACTTTGCTGGCCCTACAAATGGTGCATACTATTTAGTGGTGGTAGACGCTTTTTCTAAGTGGCCAGAAGTTATACCAATGGTTTCGCCGACAACGTCCCAGACTCTCAAAGCTCTCACTGACATATTCTCCCACCATGGTCTCCCAGAAACCATAGTTACAGACAATGGTTCGCAGTTTACCTCTCATCAGTTTCAGCAGTTCTGTCATCAAAATGCTATCGAGCATATGTTCACACCGCCGTATCATCCTCAGTCAAACGGCCAAGCGGAACGTTTTGTCGACACTTTGAAGAGAGCCTTACTCAAAGCAGAGGGAGAGGGGACACCATTTGACATCATCCAAAAATTCTTGATGGTGTACCGTACAACGGCGAATGAGTCAACACAGAACAAGAAATCGCCGGCAGAAATTCTCTACGGACGCAAACTTAGAACGATTCATAACTCAATGTTACCACCGACACTCAAACATGCCGACGCATCATTTCGGAATGAAAAAAATTTGATGTTGGTGACCCTATCTATGTCCGCGACTATCGAGGAGGACATAAACCTTGGAATAAAGGTTCCATCTCAGCACGACGTGGTCGAGTTATGTACGACGTGAAAGTTGGAAATGAATTATGGACCCGTCACTACAATCAGTTGCGGCCAAGAAACTCAAATATCCCTACCAGTACACAGTCATCCCTACCTCTGGATATTCTCTTGGATACTTTTAACTTACCTACGACTGACAAAACAGAAAAGCAGAAGTGCGCAGCTCAGACAACGTCAGACAAAGCAGAAGCCGCAAACTCAACAAGCAGACGAAGCAACAGACGTCGACAACAAACTGAACGGTTTCAGATAAACCCCAAGAAAGCACGCTATTAATCATCACTCTTCTCAAAAGGGGAGGTGATATGTATCCACATATATATATATATTTATGTGTGTGTATGTTGGTCTCTCTTTCTGTTTGCTCGCTTAGTCTGTGACCATTTCACTTGTATGAACTTGTCTCCTTTAATAATGTGTATTCTCCTTATATTATATTATATATAATATGAGTGTTTGTTGACAGTCCGTTGCTTGGTGACATATATCCATATATGGTTTGTTGACATGTCTGCTATATTCGCTATGTATATGTGGATCGATACTTCATTATAATTAGCCATTCATGTTAAGACTGTCTAATGATTGTTCACACCCTTGTCATATATATTTCGCTCACACAATTTGTGTGAACTACTTTACTTACTCACCACTTTGGTGTGAGACCATTTATTTTCGTCTCCTTGTGTTTGGACAATAGAAGTATCATCGCAAACCTAGTGGTCTTCTGATTTCCGCCTTCTTGCGTCAGGACTATTAGTTTCTCGACCAGTCCATAACAATAATTTAGCGACGAGTACATAACAGTCATCTGTTAGTTTTCTCTTTGAAATAAATCTAAGAAGCATGCTACGTCCTGCTGAGTACTTGTCAGCATGTTCACTTATTTTTGGATCTTTTAACCCCTCTTCTAACTAAACTATCACCGAATATTTTTTACGAGTTGATCACGGACTGATATCAGTTATGGGACCATTGAAAACCAGGGAGTACTGGACAGCTGTTCCATCCTAGTTATTTGGGAATCATCGGCAATGCGCACACACTGGGGTTGAAACAGGGATGAAACAACCGTCCAGTACTCCCTGGTTTCCAATGGTTCTCTAACTGATATAAACCCGTGATCAGCTCGTAAAAGCAGATCAAGTCCTTACGGACCAACTATAGAATATCATTTCATATATTTCATAATAATTTTTACCTGAGCACCAATATACTAAAATAAATCTCATCTGTTCAGGCTATTTATAAAATTAGCTCTTACTTTCTTCATTTATGTTTCCTGCACTTTTAAGGTCTGGCTGTACAAGGAAAAATAGCACTTTGTTTGAGTGGAAGTATATTTTCAATCGAAACTATGTAAGTTTTGATAGTAAGACCAACACCGTTAGGAATTATATGCTGCGAATATACATTATTATGTTAAGGATTACATATTTCCTCTTTGTGTGGAGTAGGTAACAATGTGATTGTACACATTTTGGTTATTTGTAGAAACTAGAGATATTGTACATGATTTTTGTTTGAAACGATTCTCGTTATAAATATACATAACTTCCGTGTTTAATTGGAAATACAATATACTGTTGGAGTCTTCGCCTTCTTCCTGGCCATTTTTGTTTACTTGCTCCACTCATACCGTTTTGTATACTTTGGATTTATTGCAGGAGTCTACTATCTTCAACCGGAGACAATTCTACAACCGGCACACAGCATCGACAGCAGACACAAACTCAACGGTTAACGTTCCCCTGGATTATATAAATAATTTGTAGCAGAGGACTTAAACTTTATATCCAAGTAATCCTTTTTATTGATATAACTCGTTACCGCATTTTTGTTAACATATTGTTATTTAACGTTTCATTGACTTCGATTATTATTCTCGTATTTGTAATGTTAATGAACTCTCGTAACAGTCTCTGTTTGTAGAATTGTCTCCGGTTGAGGATAGTAGACTCCTGCAATAAATCCAAAGTATACAAAACGGTATGAGTGGAGCAAGTAAACAAAAATGGCCAGGAAGAAGGCGAAGACTCCAACAGTATATTGTATTTCCAATTAAACACGGAAGTTATGTATATTTATAACGAGAATCATTTCAAACAAAAATCATGTACAATATCTCTAGTTTCTACAAATAACCAAAATGTGTACAATCACATTGTTACGTACTTCACACTTGTCTATCTTCTGAAAACGTATTTTTAATGTTACATTGCCCTTAGTTGTTTCTATTTAACCCTGATATTTTTCAAAAAGTTTTTCTCTCCCTGAAGTAGCTCACAATCATGCATAGACGAAGTATTTGCATGAATATTGGTTAGCTGTCGCTCCAGTACAGTCACACGTTGAAAACGAAACAAACTTGGGTTTCCCCAGTCAACCTTGACGACGGCTTCACACTTTAATATTTATTGCCTCTTTTAATTATAAATTATGCAAATTAATCCGAGCGCGATTAAGAAAAAAATCAAAACAAATTATCCCAGGAAATTCGTACATTTAGGGTTTGAAAACTTTTAAATTTAACGTCTCTGTTCTGATAGCTTATGTTCTGTCTATCTGTTTTTGACATAGAACTTTTCACAGATGTGCACCAGTTCAAGCCGCCACACTCCCTCCATGTACCACACAAAGCAACAGAAGAAAGTACAAGAAAAGCATAGTAGAGACAGTAAACAGAGGTGTGAGAAAAAGGAATAGTAATAACGAAGAACGGTATAGTTTCATTGGAAGTCACAAGTCACAAGGAGTGGATGCATCTTCGCCAGCCAGCCAGCCATTGAGAACGATTTTGATCCATATCACCAATTGTTTCCAGTCATTGTTTTTTACCGTCCTGAGAACCCCGATCGGTTAGAAGGTCTACACCTTCCTACGTGACCGGTTAGTTTAGCTAACCGTTGTGGATTTCAATGACTGATGAAGCCATGTTTTGGTTTGACCACCGCTAGCTCTTTTCCAGCCTGACCCTTTATCAGCTGACTAACATTTCCTGTCGAGGAAGGCGATGGCTAGACATACGTATCACTTGTCCCAACCATCTCAGTCCTTGTAATTTGACAGCTGTGTCGATTGATTTCCCCTCCCACCTACCTAGAATTCGACGCTTAACCTCACCATTGCTCACCCTATTATATCACTCCACACAGGAGATAGAACGCATGCACCTATAATTGAAGACAGCTAGCCTTTTCATGTCTTCCACTTTCAATGGTCATGCCTACCTCACAGCCATAAAGGAGGACGGAGTGGACCACCGAGCAGTATACCCACCTTTTTGGTAGATAGTCGGGTATCACATCTACTAAGCCAGAGACGGCGTAAACTGGCACATGAGAAACTAGCCCGTTTTGGGATTTCATCAGTGATCAACCCATTATGTTATAAATCAACTAATTAAGGTGTCTCAACAATGCTAATTTACAGATCAGTGAAATTAAAGCATATTCAACGGTGCTTCGCTGATTCAGCAGTAGAACAGCTGCCAACCCTCTCATGAGGCCCATGGTTTGGTCTGCGCCCCACGCACTCCTTTATCTCGCTACGGTGGTAATAAGGCCAGTAAATAGGGAAGGTTTTGAGTGAGGCTAAAAAGCGCACCCTGTAATCAAGAAACCACAGGTGTTACCGAAACTTCAAAGCTCTAGATGGAGGCCTTACGTTCCAATGTGAACGCAAAGAAGCGAAAAGTGGCACGGCTTTCATGTATATTTATCTGTTTATATGAAAATTTATATTATCATTAATATAATACTCACATACTCTTAGTGAGTAGTTTTCCAACTTCTACAAAAAGATTTTTATTGATACATTTAAAGAAAGTTATTAATGAAAATTGTGAAAACGGAAAAAAATTTCTCTACCTTGAAAGTTTCAGTTGCATTTTTTATTGTTGCTGTTGTTGTTATTGTTAGTGTAACTGAAGCATATAAAGTGAGACGAAAGCAAACATACTCATAAAAGAATAACAGAATGGAACACAACAGTAAATAACAAGTAAACTTTGCTTTAATGCGTCAATATATATATAATTGATCATTAATTTTGTTTGTTCAAATCACTTAGGAGTTACACAGAAATGCAGCGAATTATGAAAATAAGTTAGAAAAATATGCATCTCAAGGTCAAGCTCTATAGAAGTGTAGGTGGGATGAAATACAGGCATCAGAAGGTGATACTAACTCACTCCCACAGACACACACACATGCACTCACTCACTCACATACATCACCATCACAAATACACTGGTATGCTTATTGTTTTGGTTGGAGTATTTGAGGTGGTCCAAATATCTGATAGAGTATAAAGAATGCTACTTCTTGACTACTCCAATAACTACTATGTGCACCCAGTGCAGCCAATGGAGAGAAAGATTTTTGCCATTCAAAATCAACACGTCGGCGAAGTTGTTTCTCCTCTTCCCCGGGGTTGGGTCGCATTTTACAAACAGGTGGACCAAGATAGGTAACATTGGAGGATCGACGAGTCACATAATTGCTGAATAGTTTCACTATTTAAAAGGGATAAAGTGTATGAGAAACAATACTTGAGAAGAATAGTAGTAATAACATATATGATAATTTCTCGAAGTATAACTGATTACGAAAGAGAGAACAGAAGCTGGCAAAGTTCTCCAATAGCGTCCCAAGGGATGCAAACGCACGAGTGACCTTCAACCAACCAATCATAAAAATGAGGAATTTTTGCACAAAAAGTGACGTATATTCACCAGAAAATGCATGAAAACATTAAAAAGATTATCTTTCTCTGACATGGCTTAAAAAAAACGTCTCAGTTATGATGAAGAGTATCAGTTGCTAACTTGGACTAGTTTCTATAGATGTATTCACCGAAGTGACTGAAGGTGTGCTGTTTTGTTAATCATTCATCTCTCTTCTCTTGCTGTGCAGTCCCCTCCGAAGCCCTCGGTTAAATTACCATGGTTTCAGTAAGAGGATCGACGACTACATACAAGGCAAATGAAGATAAATCAAATTAAAATAAACTATAAATCTATCCCTAATCGCAACACTAACCTTAATCCTGACCCTAACCCTAACCCTAACCCAAACCCTAACCCCAATACTTTACTTAACCCTTATCCTAACCTTAACGAGATATTAACACATTGTCCAAACAGTAATTAAAAGTGTTATCTGGGTGATGAATAACGTTGATTTTTCAGCTATGGTAATAATACGTGCCGTTAGCCAACGACTAGCATGCGTTCAAGGCCATTGAAGCGTTCGCACTCCTGGGAGGCTTGAACTTCGCCCAGAAGCTTAGAATGATGTCAACTCACTGTTTGCATAGGATGAGTAATATATAATTAAATTTTGAGACATATGAAGATTTTTACTGCTTAACAAATAAATTTTATAATAGTGGTGAAGTGAAAATATGGGTTGTAGTGGAATTCGAAGAAGTGGCTTTTGAATTTTTATAGTCTGGCGTTCTAGTAAATGGGCCACCAGATACAACTGCTGACCAGGTCATGAAATGTCATAACGAAGTGTTACCGTTTTTGTTGGTTGTTGCCTAACTGGACTAGAATGAGCCTTCAAACACGACACTATAACTATCTGGTCGCTTGAAAAATGACAGTCAGCACATCCAAAACTATCTCAGCTAGTCTTTCCATCAAATAAGTGTGTCTGAAAGATTCTGCGGGGAGGCGATTTTTTTTTTTTAGAAAATTCATACATTTATTCCCCTTAATGAATTTGAATAAAGCAAGAACAACAGTGCAGTTTGTGCAAAATAATATGGTATCGTCATTTATTTCCTTGGCTACTCATCAGCTGCCACTTACAGCCTAAATAAATTATGGGGTAGGTTTATGTACAGAAAAGTTTTAACCTACTTGGAAATTCGTACATAATATCAGTTGACGAGGGGTTCGAGGATTAGTAAATAGTGCCCAGAAAATCACGCTTATATATTTTAGCCCAAATTTTGCAGGCCGACCATAGATATCAGGTGTGCGTCGGTGCGGGCTCGAACCCCGGATCATGTGCATGGTCGGCGAGAGTCCTAACCACTGTGCCACCGACGCACAATGGTGAAGGAGTTTATCAATAGAGACAGGAGATGTGTAAGATGATGAGTGACAAATAAATAGTGTAACAATGTACTGAGTTCAACTCAAATCATAGGAACAAGAGACAAACAAAATTACACTACGTCAAAGTGGGGGGAGGGGAGGTTAAAGCTAAAGGTTACGTAATCAAGTGAAAGAGAGAATAAAGACATCCAGTTACCAGGGCAAGATCTATTTGTTCAAAAAAAAGCTTTCCTTGTCCATCCTGGTAAGTGGATGTCTTTATTCCCTCTTTCATTTGGTTGCGTAATTTTTGACTTTAACCTCACCCCCTTTTTGACACAATGTGATTTTGCCTGTCTCTTCTTTCTATGACTTGAGTTGAACTCAGTACATTGTTACCTAATTTATTAATCATTCTGTATTTGACGCAAACTTCGTCCTTATTGCATAACTCTTTTACCATTGTCTGAATACATTTACTTTGTTTAAACTTGAGCTGCCTGTGTAGAAACTCTCTAAGCGGAATTTTTACGTCAAACAGCAATGCTTTCTGATCAGATTGAACCAATTTGAACACTGGATGGCTATTTCACTGTTTCGACACACTGTTTCATCAGCAATACCTCCAATCTTGCTGATTCCAGACAGATAAGTCGGTTGAAACCGTTTGAACTCTGACTGGTTAGCTGGATGAACTGGTAATACCGGAAATTTTTAACTTGGGCTTATAAAAATGATGAATACACCACAGATTACTATCAAAAGTATTAATCCTTATTCAGTAATAAAGAAATATTTCACACAGTTGGTTCCCTTGATAAATTTCGATAAAGAAAGGAAAACGACATTTGCAGTATGAAATGATATCATCATCATCATCATCATTCTACTTCACAGGTTCTCATCAGCTGCCATTGACTACCTGAAATTACAATGGTTATATAGACGATGACAATAACATACTTTAATGTTTGAGTGGTGGTAGAGAAGAGATACTATAAAATTGACGCATCCAAAATGAAAGCATTACAATATTTACTTCTAAGATTTCATCATCAATTTATACGCTTTCAAAGTTCAAAAGAGGGGGGGGAGGGGTAAGTTAGAAAACAGAAAATATTGATTAGCAGAACAGTGTTAGCTTGTAGCTTGTTCACATAGTGGCTACAGTTTATGAGATTAAGATTTGTTCAGTGAGTTGAGATCACTGAATTAGATGACTAATTATTGTAATCAAAATCAAAATTCAGTTACCAAGGGAGTGAGAGGTTAATCACACACTCTCTTTCTGTATGCATAAGTCTGGTTGAAATCGTTTTATTGCGATCGCTTCGGCAAATCGTAGTAAATTTGCTATCCTTTGTCTATTTAATATTTTAAAGGACTTAGAAATCTCTACGAGATGTCTGGTATCAACAATATGTCTGGTAATTGCACTCTGGAAATATTTGCTACCTTTCAGGCATAGGTTTCTTGGAATATGTTCAGAAAACTGGATAGAAGCCCATCTTTTTGTCCTTCCAATGTACTTACTCCCGCAAGTGCACGTAAATTCATAAACGCAGATGGAGGTAACATCAGCAGGGTATTTATTCAGTTTTGAGTGGCTTATAGAAGGAGTAGTACTGTATACTGTTGTAAGTTTTGCTTCCGGGCAGCTCCTATTTATTGCACCTTTCAGTATTTTGTCAATCTTTTGTGACACTGCATTTCCTTTGAATGGGAGACAAATAAACACTTTCTTCTTTTCTACAGTTGGATGCTTTTCTTTCTTATCTTTTTCTCTGCTATACTTCTGTATAAATCCCTTAGGGTATCCATTTTCCCTTAGGCATTTTTCGATGAAATCTAATTCTTCTTCGACCTTGTTTGGTGAACATAGATTCCGGGTTCTTAGTCTTAATCTCATAAACTGTAACCGCTATGTGAACAAGCTACAAGCTAACACTGTTCTGTAAATTAATTTTTTCTGTTTTCTCTCTTACGTCTCCCTTCTCTTTTCAACTTTAAAAGCGTATAAATTGATGATGAAAACTTAAACTAAAGAAATTGTAATGCTTTCATTTTGGATGCATCAATTTTATAGTATCTCTTCTCTTCCAAAGATAGGACTTCAAGTGAACATAGATAAAACAGAGGTGATGAAGATTCCTGGCCAACATCAACAGCAACAACAACAGACAACAATCAGACAGAATAAATGGGAGGAACCTGAAAGAAACAACCTCCTTCACCTACCAACCTGGGAAGAGTCGTTTCAACTACAGGCCGACGAAAATGATGAGGAAATCAAAGCCAGAATCGGAAAAGCAAGGCAAGCTTTCATTGCTCTCAAGTCTGTGTGGAGGTCAACATCACTCAGCATCAGAAACAAGATCCGGATTTTCAACTCCAATGTGAAGTCAGTGCTACTCGCCATACGGATCAGAGACTTGGTGCGTCATGAAGAGCATCTCAAACAAACTTCAGACTTTTATTAACAGTTGTATTCGCTCAATACTCAAGATCAGATGGCTGGCCAGAAAATGTCAGCAACAAAGATCTCTGGGAGCGAACCAACCAGGAACCGATTGTGAAACAAATAGGCAGGAGGAAATGGAGATGGATTGGCTGGCCATACTTTGGGGAAACAAACCATCAAGTGACATCACTAGACAGGCCATCACTCGAGTGGAAACCGAAAGGGAAGCGACGGGTTGGTCGTCAGTCCAAGGGTGACTAAGAGGAGGTCATATGAAGAGGAGATGAAAGCATGTGGGCAGACTTGGAGCGGGGTGAAAAAGTTGGCAGAAAACAGAAGGCAATGAAGACGTGCAGCTGAAGCCCTATGTTCTTCTAGGAATTAAAGGATATACTAATACTAAATAATCTTCTCAACAACCACTCAAACATTAAAGTATGTTATTATAATCATCTACATAACCATTGTAATTTCAGGTAGTGATGTGCAGCTGATGAGAACCTGTGAAATAGAATGATGATGATATCACTTTATACTGCAAATGTCGTTTTCCTTTCTTTATCGAAAGAAATCTTTCTTCCCTTTAATTAGTAATAATCTTAGGATAAGAAAGACAAGACAAGCCTCTATTACTCTAAAATCACTGTGGAAATCTTCAGTACTTAGCAAAAGGAATAGGATGAGAAACTTTATCAATAATATCAAGTCAGTGCTGCTATACGGTTCAGGAAATAATCTTCAATAGGCTATTGTAGAATTTCAGTAACATCTACTTCTCTCAGTAAGGAAGACCAAATATCCGGTCAGAAAGGATAGGCAATAAGGAACTCTGTTTGTCAACGAACCAACCAAGAATTAATCACCCAACAAATATGCAGAGTGGCATCACGTGCCAAGGAGGTCGTTGGATATCCAAGGGTGACATGAAGGAGATCAACTGGGGGAGAAAATGAAAACCTATGAACATTCATGGAACCAGAAAACAATGTGAAATGGGAACGTGCTGCTGAAGCCTTGTGTTCCACTCACAATCCAAGAAGATAACAATGATAATTGTATGTTCATGGAGCACTCACGAATGGTTGAAAGAAAGGATCTATGGTCAACTATTGCAAATCTTCGCATGTCTTTACTGTCAACGGTCATGCCTCACAGGCGTAAATTAAGACAGAAAGAAAAACTGCTGCAAAGTACACATGTTCTCAACGGAACAGCTAGATGACACCAAGTTAATGGCAGCTAAACAAATCTGTCAAGTAGGGCTGATTAAACTTCCTGAATACGTGAGTTGATCACTTCAGTCATGTAATTCACTCCTTAGACGCTTGAACTAGAAGTTGGTATAGACCACTTCTAACGGATGAGCAATACACTTTGCCGGAGGGAAAATGATATATAGTGAAGTTCAGGAATCCCCACCCCCCCAAAAAAACAACACATACATAGTTACTTACTGGCTAAAGATTGATGTTGTTTGTAGACAAAATCTTGCTCCACAACGCTTATACGTTTGAAAAACTGTAAAACAAGAATGAACAACTACAAAACAGCATGACATATTTATTTTACAATTAACAAGTATAATTTTTGGAAGAAATAATGCTAATAAATCACTTCCTTTACTAACAAGTAGTGAAATTAGACTCTGAAGATGTCAGGCACTGTTTGTGGAATTGTTGTACCACACAATACCAATCTAAGTAAACGTAGTGTGTCTTATTACCCAGTCAGTCAATACCTTATTTAACTTGTAAGCACAGACAACACAACGGAAATCAGAAAGACTCATTTATTTAGTAATGTGCTCAGATAAGCGGTATACTTAAATAGAGGGAAACGTCATAGTTTTTCGGGGGAGAGATTTTAAAACTTACCTGATTAGTATGTCTGAACAACAAACTCAGTGTTTGTGCGTGTCCATAGCACAATGAAGGAGCACGCAATGGCATCTAAGTCTGTCGAGATGTGTACCCATTAAAGAAACCTTTAAACAACTTAAGCATTTGAAGGCGTGATGCACGTTTATTTAGTTGATTCAGTCTGATCTATCTGTTTTAGCCCTAGGCTTGTTTCGAGGTCATGGAAAGTGTATCAGAAAGACTAAGAGAGACATTTAGAATCAACGGCTAGAGACTGTTGGTGACATGATTCAGTGTCTTTTTTTTAATGGTGTAAGTGAATTCATCCTAAGTGTTCATGTAAATGTTTTTTCTCTTGTACTTATCCATTGTTTATAGTTTATTTGAATTTTTTTCTTGAATCTGATTCACTTTTATGTAAAGTTCTACGTTAAAAAATTCCTTTCAGCCATAAATAGTCACCGGGCTTGCCATGACTTTCAGTGTTTGTGTTGCTCTTCACTTATAAGATATTTAGTAAACTTGTAACAACAAAAGTTAAGGGCCACGCAAAAGATCGTTTATTAAGGAAATCAACACATATTTATAGATTATTTTCATGTACATTATTATAGATTATTGTTAGCAGAAAACACACTCTTCTGATTGGTTGTTTCTCACTGAAAGTTAATCTTTCATCTCTTTGTGGCTGTTTCTTGAATGTCAGATCATCTATATGCTAACTGTATCCGCCTACGCAAAGTCTGGTGTGATTGGTTGCTGAATCAGTCTTTGTTCTTATTTTTATCACGATCAATATTGGACACGTAGACATTGACGTAAATTATTGTCTACCAATTCGGCTACCAGCCAACTCTCATTACAAACTGACTGATTCCAGAAAGATTTTTATCATTTATGACTGAATGACTAGTTTTCAACATAAAATTTTGATCTGAAAGAGCAGCACTTTAAGTAGCCATACTCCATGTAGTAAACAAAGGTTTAGAAAAGAAGGAAGAAAAGAGATTCACTAGAACCATGACTAACAGGAATGTACTGGTGAAAGAATAGTGACATGAGAGTTTAGTCAACATAGAAGATTACAAAGAGTAAATGCATCTACTCCAGTTAGAGCAACTTTTGGACCACATCACTAATAACCTCAAGCTATATGATTCTTAGCATCCCAGGGACGCTGACAAGGCAGTTTGTCTCGCTGTACATGGCACAAAACAACTGTCAAAGTCTTCATGAACTGATGCCACGTTCTGGTCTGATATGGTGGTGGCTCAGCATGCACAACAGTCGTCCTAGCCATCTTAGTCAATGTAGCTTCACAACCTCATTGATTGACTTCCTCTCCTTACCTAAATGTCTGCTCCTAAGTTCAGTATTACCCATCATATATTTGACTAATTAACACGGGAGACATAATGCGGACATCTGTGGTCAAAGACAGCCAACCTTTTCATTTCTCGCACTGATTTCACCCAGTATATATATATATACTGATGACCTCTCTGTTTCTATGCATGTCAACTCTCAGTCAGAATGTTCCAAATTAAATGACTTTCTGTCGGAAATTAGTCAGTGGTCCTCTTCAAACGGACTTAAGCTTAATCCGTCTAAATGTCAGGTAGTCAATTTCACTTTCAGACGTAAACGTGACCTACAACAACTTGTTAGCTCACATGGCCCCATCATCATTGACGGCATAGAGGTTGAAAATACATCTAATGTAAAGTACCTTGGGCTGAGTTTTTCCACCAATCTTTCCTGGTCCTCACACATCTTGCTAGTTACCAGAAAGATGTTTCGTTTAACGTTCTATGTTAGGAAATTTAGGCAGTCTTTGCTTTCTCAGTTTGTCAATTATTGTATTCTACCCATCCCCCTTTACTGCTCCCCATTAATCTTTCCTGGACTACTTAAGAAAGACTTTGATTCGCTGAGAAGGGCACTAAAAGCTGTTAGTAGGACAAGTGGGATATCCTTAAACCGACTGGTTAACACTATTGTGGATAGACATATTATGTCATGTAAGAAACTAGCGAATACAATATTGTCAGATCCCGAGGATCCTCTCTATACGCAGCTGTCTCTTTGCATTTCATCTGGTAGAACTAGAATCAGCTATAGGAGGCTGGTTATATGCTAGGACTACCAAGTACAAAAACTCCACAATACCATATCTGGCACAGCTGTTATGTGATGAGAAATCCATTAGGTATGACACGATCAACTTACTGCAGCACTCTAACAAATAGTCCCATTAGTTTTTGTTTTCCTTTCCTCGTTAATATTTCACTGTTGTTCTCATCTTCTATTAAACACTAATTTAACATTTCATATCCTGTGGTGCATTGTTTAAAATGTGAACGCAACGCTGTTCTTTTTATTTTTTATTTATCCTCTTTTTTTGGTTGTTGTTTTTTGATTTTGAAATCTTATAAAATTTATGAGGGGATAAGATGCAATATATTGTAATGCACGCTGAAAATTCCATACCTATACCACAAATACCGTTTGGAATAAAGCTGTTAATATTATATATATATATATATATATATATATATATATATTGATCGTATAAGAAGCTACTGAATGCTAACTATCAAATTGCAATACATTAAATCACTAATTGTGTAATTGGGTCCCAGTGGCTCAATGGTCTACGAGCTCGCCTTGTAACCAGAAGGTCCTGGGTTCGAATCCCGGTGGGTGCGTACTGCTGAGGAGTCCCAAACTAGGACGAAACGGCTGTCCAGTACTCCCAGGTTTTCCAGTGGTTCTCTAACTGATGTCAGCTCATGATTAAATCCTCCATGTAATATATATAAGGCATGACTATCCTAGTTTTCAATCTAGTATGACGTGTCTAGTTAGTGTTCGGGAAATTATTCATAACTTATAATTATAACTGATATAAGTACGAAACTTGGGCACTGTGGTAGAGTGTAACTTCATTGTGGATAAGATTCTACTATCTTTAAATTCCAAAGTAAAATATATAGACAAACAGAAGGTGTAGCAATGGGATCACCAATATCTCCTATCGTAGCAGATATATTTATGGACAGCTGGGAAAATATGACTCTTAATACATCTAATACTACTCCAAAGATAATATAGTGCAGATATGTGGATGACACTTTCACGGTGTTAAAAACAGAACACATATCTAGCTTCTTGACACATACAAACTCACTAGTAGAGGGAATAAAATTCACATTTGAATCGGAAAATGAACAAGGAGAATTAGCTATGTTGGATTGTAAAATAAAACGATTAGAAGAAGGTAAACTGTGAACTAGTGTTTATAAATCGCCAACACATTCTGTTATTAGACATTTAGACTTTAATCCATCTCATCCGTCGTCTGTAAAGGCAGGCTTAGTTAAGTGTTTAACAAACCGAGCAGTAGCACTAAGTAGCACATAATGAGACCTAAATGATGAAATAAAACAAATGGAAGAGGCGTTGGTGTTAAATAACTATACTATAAGATTAATTGGGAAGGTCATTAAAGACCAAAATCAAAATCAAAATAATTGTGGAACTAGTAATGATGACATAAATAAGAGAGAATATAAGTCATCCACTGTTATACCATATAAGGAGGGGACATCTGAGACCCTACGTAGGATTCTAAATAAAGCAGGAATTAGAGTGGCATTTAAACCTAAAAGCCCATTTAGGGACAAGCTCTGTAGGCTAACGGACCGGTAGACCCAATTAAACAAAATATTATAATTTACAAAATACCTTGCAATGACTGTGAGTTAGGTCATCTATATAAGTCAAACTAGTAGATCGGGGATTGTCAGATTGTCAGAACATAAGAATTTAGCTAAGGTAAGAATGGTTGACCCCGAAAAGATGAGTAATTTAGAAAAAAGCTCAGGAGTGCATTGCACTACATGCATTAACACACAATTACACAATAGGTTGGGAGAGGGTTAAGATTCTAAGAAGTGATCTATGTAGGTGGACAGATAGAGTGAGATTGATTACTGAATCCTGCCTGGTTCATCGAGTCTACACCCACCAAAACACATGCAACAGAAATGACTCAATGCAAATACCAGAGATATGGAAGATATTATTACCGCCAATCAAATCAGAAGAGGATAATAAATAATCTCCAAATTTATTTCAATTCAAGCACATCACAACATTCGAACAAGCTGCTTATTATGACTATAAAAAACACTCGTCTTATTTCCCATCTGGTTGTAATTGGTCAATAACACTCATATTATTACTATTTCTGAATGTACATTATCTCATATTGATTTTTATTCAAATGTCTAATCATCAGTGTTCACTCATGTATATAAATGAAAGAAAAAGTTGTGTGAATAACTTGATAAGACTATGAGTAATAGTTTGTGCTCGAAATATCATCAGTTAGTATTGCTGTATAACACTGTGTAATCTACCAAAATAAAATCTTATTCATAATGGAATTATAAGAATTATGTTGAGATTCATTCAGCTAACATAACTTTGAGGCTAAAAAGTAAAAACACAGTGATTACTTTCTAGAAAACGAATAACGGCTCAGAATAGGACAATAAGTTGCTCAAAATCTGTTAGCGGAGATCATTCATATACAGCTTGACTATGCTTTAGCCAATAAGCCAATGCGTTTTATTTGTTGGTGACTATCCGTGGAATCCAGTATGTGCATTTCTTCTCATTTCAGACTCTCCAGCTGCATGTACCTGGATAACCAGTAAGGGATGCTATTTACACTGAGACTTGAATCATTTACCTATCGTTTCAAACGCCACAGCGCTATCCGCCAGACTTCTTGTACAATGGGATCTAGTTATCATTTGTTTTTAGTTTGGTTTTGGATATCTCATTGATTGACGTCGTTACATCGAGATGCTCGATCCGTACTAGAAGTTGACATGTCAACAAAGAGATGGTGGGTGCCAGGTTCGTGTCCCCGTGGGCGCACCATCATTCACTGGAGCTGCAGACAGATCCAGCTGACAAGTCCTAGATATGGGAAAATAGGCATCCTGGATTCCTCTAGTAGTCACAACTAACCAAAATAACCTAACGTTATTCCTCAGACATCGTTGAAGCGTCCAAACTAGTAGCCAACAAAACAAGAGAAACCACGCTATTCGATTCAACACAATCAACACAACGAGAAATGCAAGATTAACTTAAAAAACAAGCAATGATAATGGATTTAATTGAATTCTAGTTTTTTCCGTCGATTGATTGGACTGAAGTGCTCGGTGTCAGGTTGACATATTGGCTCCTTATGCAGATGTTTTTACGATGTCTGGGCATTTAATTAGTCACTATTCACCAATTAAATTCTAATTAAATGCTCAGACATCGTCGAAGCATCTACATAAGAGGCCGGCATGTCAATATGACACCTAGCACTTCGGTCCAATAAATCGACGGGAAAATCTTAAATTCAATTAAATAATAATTATGACTCGTTGCACAAGAGGTGGCTCTCGTCGCCCAAGTGGTCTAGTGGCTAACTCTTTTGCGTTTGAAACTATTAGTACTGGGTCCGAGCCTCGGTGGGAACATCATCACTCTACTGCCCATTCGTGAATATATATATGTAACAAAGATGTGAGAAAGTTTCAGAGCTATTGTCGGCCTGAGGTCGAGATTTAAAGAGTAACAAGATGAATTTATGTGAAAGTAATAGAGGTTACAGGCAATAATACTGATAAGAACAGCCTGGAAGCTTTGGTAAAAAACGTAGTGCAGCGAGAACAGACTGTTTATGATGACAATATATTAAAGATAACGTTTAGACATACTTCTTTTGGATACATAGCGTTAGCTTAAATTTCTAGATGGCTAATGCGCTTGATCCCTTTAAGAGCTTTGATAAGATCTTGCATAAGGCCTTGAAGGATTTCTGAGCTCTATATGAAATCAAGATAATATGGGCATAGCTGAAACATTAGCTACCCAGAAATTTAAGTCAACACTATGCATCGAAATTTAGTACGTCTATTCTTTGTCTTTAACACTGCTATCATACACAGTTTAGTTTTACAACAAAGAATATTTATTATCTGATTACGTTTTTCAACCGTCTTCTGGTTTATTTTTCTTAGTATTACATATATTTTTAATCCCTATTCGCTACTCATAACTCCACTGCGTTATTCGTTACATTTTGATGTCTTGCAGGCAATTATTATCATTGTTTCCTTTAGTTCCTAGAGGAACATACGGCTTCAGTTGCACGTTTCCATTGCGTTCAGTTCCCTGACGACGTTTTCACCTGACTCCACGTATACCCACATGCTTACATCCCCTCTTCAGATGACCTCCTTCATGTCTCCCTCGAAATGATGACCAACTCGCCGCTTCTAATTCAGGTTCCACTCAAGCAATTGTCTAGGGTGTGATGTCACTTGCTTGATGGTTTGTTTTCTCGGAGAATGGCCAGCCAATTCACCTCCATTTCTTCCTGCAGATTTCTCGAACAATTGGTTTCTGTTGGGTTGGTTCGTTCCCAGAGATCCCTGTTGGTGATCATTCCTGGCTGGCCATCTGATCTTGAGTATTGAGCGAAGACATCTGTTGATAAAGGTCTGTACTTTGTTCGAAGTGCTCTTCATGACGCACCAAGTCTCTGATCCGTACAGTAAGCAGTACTGACTTCACATTGGAGTTGAAAATCCATGTCTTAATTTTGATGCTAAGTGCTGTTGACCTCTATACAGACTTGAGAGTAATGAGAGTTGGCCTTACTTTCCCGACTCTCACTTTGATGATATCCTCATAAGTTCCGCCCGACTGTAGTTGAAACGATGCTTCCCAGGTCGGTAGGTAAAGGAGGTTACTTCTTTCAGATTCCTCCCATTTATGTTGGTTGTTGTTGATGTTGGTGTTGCTGTTGGTCAGGAATCTTCATCACTTATGTGTTTTTCCCATGTTCACCTAAAGTTCTATCTTCCCTGGATGCTTCTTCTGCCAACTTGTTGCTTTTTACTTGCATATCTTCTAGTTTCTGAGAAATCAGACATATATATGGCATCGGCGAAGTCAAGATCCTCCAAGTTTCTTGTGTGGATCCATTTTATGCTTGTTTCCTCTGACCGGCAATACTTCTGGAAATTTCTCATCCTTTTGCTATGCATATTCACGAAAGTACAGCCTTGTTGATGATTTTGTCGAAAAAATTCTTTCCTCACTGAAACCGTTTCAATAATTAAAAGAAGTCAAAATCTTATAAAAATTAAAAGTTGCATAATACTGCGGTTGAAGTGGACAGATAATCAAAGTTTTAATAAGTGACTTAAAATGGCGAAAGAGGTAGATAGTAGAAGAGGCTGAGAAGTTTTAATTAGTTCATTAAATCGATCTAGGCAAACGAAAAGACAAATGTTGCGCAAACCTCTTCTGTGTACAAAGATTAGGATGGATCGTTCTCTCGAATTTCCATAGATCTAACTGTATGTAAGTGACGAGTTTAAATTTCTTTCGAAAGTCTGGATGGAATGTGAAAGACAATCTTGAAAGAGTTTCTTAATAACCGACTTAATAAACGATATCAATTAAACGAAACAAAAGAAAGCTTTTTATAGATTTTATCTAGTCTTTTCTGAACCATGAAGGAAGGTGGTCAGTAATGCGTTTGTTAAGCTTTTTAGGTGTTTGTCCTATATAACTTTCTCTCCAGAAGTGGATAAATTTGTAAGTACACATAGAAGTAGCACACCTAGATGGCTTATATCCCACTAGAGCAATCATAATTAGTCGGGTGGAACATGATGAACAAAGATTGGCAGCAGTATAAGTCCGTTTCATGGCTGTATATAATCTTAGATGTAGAACTTCACTAGCTGCGTCTCTGTTGAATTTTTAACTTCAGGAACAACCGTTTCGCCCTAAACATAGTCGGTTTCTCTTTGTCGTACATCACTACTGATGTGTCTTCTTACAAACCTACTAGATAACCCATTTAGATTGACGTAGTATGGATGTATAAACTCGCCAAGATTACCAGCTCGCTAGTCTTCTAGCCGCTTCCAAGCCCGGATAAAGAGGGCGGGTTGGGGCGCGGTGCTAGCAACTCCACTCTTAAAACTTAATTGCTACAGAAACTTCAACGAATAAATATATTACGAATACTAAAAATACAAACAATAACCTTACTTTTCTCTGGAATTGGGGAAGTGAAATGACGTAGGCTGCTGAAAGCCTCCGGGAAGCCAGTCAGTCGATGTGCCTTCTTTCGATGAAAGCAAAAATAAGGATGGGGATGTGGAATATTCGTACAATGTACCAAGCTGAAAAGACTGCCAAGGTAGCCACAGAAATGAGAAGATATGGAATAGAAGTGATTGGAATCTGTGAGAGCAGATGGAGCGGATGTGGAAGGTGCTAACCATCAACTGGACCGCGAAGTAATTTAGAAACTACTCGAGTACTACGGCGTACCCCAAATATTCATCAACCTTATTCAACAGCTGTACGACAACGGCGGCACATATCAAGTGATCCACAAGGGAAAACTCAGCGAGGCGTTTGGAATAAACACAGGAGTCAGACAAGGGTGCTTATTATCACCTATGATATTCCTAGTTGTGGTGGACTGGGTTATGCGTCAGACAGTGAGTGGGAAACGAGAAGACAGGGATATCCTGGACCGACGTAAAGAACCCAGAAGCCTTGGATTTCGCGCGTGTATGATTTATGTTTGATGTCACACAAAATCGAAGACTTACAAGCGAAAACCGACCGACAAACTGGTCGAAGAAGCAGCCGGCGAAGACAAGACTCCAGGTTAACATAGACAAGACGGAGGTTATGAAAATGACCAAACAACCAACCACTACCACCACCAACGACAGCAGCAGCAACGTGCAGCGCCAATCACCATCAACGAACGGGAGGGATTTGAAAGAGGTTACTTCATTCACTTATCTAGCATTGAGCATTGTCTCAACTACAGGCAGTCGGAGCGGACGAGGATGTCAAATCGAGCGGGAATCTGAAAGCAGGAAACACATTCATCAACATGAAACCAATCTGGAAATCTTCGTCACTCAGCATCAACAACAAAATTCAGTCGGATTTTCAACACAGACGTCAAGTCAGTCACTTCTTCTATACGAATCAGAAACTTGGCGGGTGGGTCACAAAGAATATTTCCAACAGCCTGTTGCAGACCAGACATTTATCAACAACAACTGCCTTCACTCTATACTGAAGATCAGATGGCCGGGCCGGAAAGAATCAACAACTATGGGAAACTATGGGAACAAACAAAACAAGACCCAGTCGCCCAAAAATGTACAGGAGAAAGTGGAGATGGATTGGATACTGGCTGAGGAGGCCGCTGGATGACATTGCGCGCGTCAGGCCATTGCTTGAGGGAAACTAGGCCGAAAGGGAAGCGGTGAGTGGGACGTCAGTGGAAGGGTGACATGGAGGAGATGGTGTGAAGAGGAGTTGAAAGAGTATGGACTAACAATGATGCAGGTGAGAAGTACAGCAGAAGACAGAAGTGGCAAGTTGAGACGTGCAGTTGAAGCCCTATGTTCCACTAGGAAGGAAACCAAAGGAACAATATTAATAATAATATCATTTACGTAAATATAAATAAAAATGTTAAAAAATGTCAGCATTAAAATTAATGATTCACTTACTCTTCTCTCTTGCTCATCATCAGGTGTTTTTTCATTTGATGTATCCGATTCATCACTACTGCCTGAATCAGACAAATCAACTGTTTGCAATGAATTCAGGGACTCTACATCACTATGCGATGAGTCAGATCCTTTCAGAGTTGGCGTATCACTGTGAGGAGATTCTTTTGACGAAGATTTATTACTACTGGTAGTAGTAGTATCGCTCCGACCACTGCTACGACCACTTCCAACTAGACTAGTAATTCGACTGACACTCGTCAAGTTGGAAATACTATTTGACAGAGTATCTTTAATTGAAAGAAATTTCTCTAGATGACTGAGAGATGCTTTTGGTATGACTACAGGACTGATACTTGCATAATGCTTGAGTAATAAAGGCTCTAAACGATATGCCTAGATATGAAGACAAAGTAAAAGAAAGGAGAAATTGTAAGTGATTGTATCATACTACTGAAAAATGTTAGTTAGTAATATGTGCGACGTTAACGAAATAAAATTGTCGGTTATTCAGATTCATCATACTAACAGGAATGTAGATTTCATCATGAGGTAATGTCAGTTAGCTCTCCAGTAGTGCACATTAATGACTCCATCAGAGATCAAACCCACGAACTTCAGCTTACCCCATTAGGTCGTCAACCGTTTCCGATCACCCATGAACTCTAAGTTCTGTCAGTTCTTGATATAGTTTTCATGTCAATCAGTATTATCAACGAATATCCTCTTCACCGTGACACAGCAGACTTTACGAGCACCACGGCTCCTCACATTAAAATTTTACGGTATCTATTCAATAGCCACTAATGGGCTTTAGAGTGATGTTTAAAACAAGCAATAAAGGTTAATAAAGCAGGATTTAATGAATTCACCGAATTTCGGTAGAACTCGTCAGCTGAATACTCTATATACATACACGGATATATATATACTTTGGAAATTACATTGGGAGATATAAGACTGATAAGTAAACAAACTTCATTGAATTAATCATACAGAACGACATGTGAGAATGTTTTCCATGTCATGATCAAATAAATAAGGAGAGAGAGTGCATTAGTGATCAAAATTAAGATAAATTGCATTATGCTTCAATTACATCACTTAGATAAACAAGTAGTCATTAGGGAATATAACGAGAATTGCAAACAGAGTAATTTCAATAGTAATAGTTATAATAACAATAATAATAATAGTAGTGTTGAAGTGAGTTAAGATAATGCTAATGAATAAAGAATAATAGTAATAATAATAAGAGGTAGAATAATGAGTAAAACGTATTACCATGGTAGATTCAGAGTCACAACCATCTCTTTTTATATACAGGGACCTGTTTTATAAACTCAAATCGCACATGCCTCCTCCTCAACTGCAAGCATCTTTTTGTTTCTTTGTCTGCTGACAACAGTGTGAATGACTTGAAAGTGTCGATATCATGCCCATAATCCACAAGATGTTTTGTTATTGAGGATCTTGGCACTGTGCACTCATCTGTTTTCAACCATTTTGGCAAATGCTTCATCATGCGAGTAGACAATCGCCTTTCTGTAAGACCTATGTATTTGCTTCCACAAACACACTCATCAAGTTGATATACGTAGTTTGAAGTGTCAAGGATTGGCGACTTGTCTTTCTCAGACTGTTGAAACACTCGCTTAGTGGTGTTAGGGAAAACAAGTTCCGCAGCATAATAAGTTCTCTTGATGGCTTTGTCGAGTCTTCGTTTCACTACTTCCTGTACACCATCTCCTTTGAATGGAAAACTGATATAGACAGATTTCTTCGGAACTGTTTGGGTTGTTTCGCATGGGCTAATTTCTTTAGACTATTTATTAATAAACTTCTCAGGATATCCATTCTTAGATAACATATCCTTCAGAGATTTTATTTCATGCTCAGTATTACTGTCAGAACAAATTTTTCGTATTCTGACTAAGTTCTTTTATTACTGGATTGGAACAAAGCTCTTGAAATTCATGTACTGTCCTGTCTATGAAGACTTTCTAAATATAGATCTTTCGATTGTGCCGTCATTCATTTTCATGACTAATTCAATGTAATTTGTTTACTTATCAGTCTTATATCTCCTAATGTAATTTCCAAAGTATATATATATCCGTGTATGTATATAGAGTATTCAGCTGACGAGTTCTACCGAAATTTGATGAATTCAATAAATCCTGCTTTATTAACCTTTATTGCATGTTTTAAATTCGTATCAGGAAATAAATGTTTTCAATTCTTATAGAGTGATGTTTAGATTATATCAAATAAAGTATAATTATATTTCAATAGTTTACACACAATGATAAGTTTTGTTACTGGTAATTTTGCTAAAAAATATTACCATTAACAAAACTTATCATTGTGTGTAAACTATTGAAATATAATTATACTTTATTTGATCTAATCAACAATGCTCAAACTTTTTACTGATATTAATTTAGATTATATGCTTTGCTAGGAGGTAGGGTTCAGATTTTAATTACAATACAGATTTTGTCAAGAACCAGTATCAATTAGCGAACTGCTAGAAACCAGGGGGTACTAGGCACCTGTCGGGTCGAACAAAAAAAAACTAATTGAAATGAGTCTGAGCTTTTGAGAAGAAGAAGAAGATATAAGTTTAGTTCTAGTTTCAATAACACTGAGTTCAGATATAAAGCGTTAGATAAAGTCACTACATCGACTGAGATGAATACGACGGTAGTTACACATACCGAACTACCGCATTTCTCGCTGAGTAATACTACCTGATAAATTGGATTAATTACAGGATTTCATTATGAGCTGACATTGGAAAACCTGGGAGTACTGAACAGCTGTTTCGTTCTAGTTTGAGACTCTTCAGCGGTAGGGTGCAGCCGGCCGTGTGTGAGGACAAATACTCGCCACGGATGACATTGGCTAGTGGTTGTGTCATATCGTGAATTGGAAGAAGTTAGAATTCATGGGCTGGCCATTGGATCGGGTCCCAGTAGTTTAATGGTCTACGAGCTAGCTCACCTTGTAACCAGAAGGTCCTGGGTTCGAACCCAGTCGTTGGGTGCGTACTGATGAAGAGTCCTAAACTAGGACGAAACAGCTGTCCAGTACTCCCAGGTTTTCCAATGTCAGCTCATGATCAAATCCTGTAACCAATCAACCAAATCCCTACAAACCGATACTTGAAATTGGATTAAATCGGGAACTATGATAGGAGTGATCCGTTCACGAAGTATTCTAGTAATTTTATTCTGAAAAGTCCTTTATTACACATTGCAGAATCCTCAGAATTTTATATTATAATCAGTTATATATCATCCAGAACAATGTCGTTCTATACAAAGCACGCTATAACAGCCTGTTATGCTTTCTATTCGTTTTTTTGAAAAATCCATTACGTACGGTGGGTTGAATCCTATTTGAAAATAGATGTCTGTAGAAATCATGATTCAGAGATGAAGTTGGATAACTGAAACAATATGAAGTAGAGTACTCTGAATGGATACTAATTAGACTGGCGGCCCGTTTAAAATTCGGGCTACCGAAAACCACCATTAATATATTGCTTATAATTTCTCTTGTTCAGTTTGTTTAAATCTAGTGAAATATGACATCTAATGGTATTTTTTATTTTGGCGGGTATTTAAAATGTCTACAACCTACTGATTTATCGCACGTTTCTACTAAACATCCAAGAAAGCATTGTCCTCAGTGAATTGTAGCTTATCCCAATATATGAGATGACCGTTTCTGAGATGTGTTCTTGGTTGCCAAAATGTACTTACTCCTGAACCTTATAATAATCGGCATTCGACAAAATGTTGTCGTTCATGTGTTGGTTTGTAGGAATTCGCTTGATTGGTTACAGGATTTCATCATGAGCTGACATCAGTTAGAGAAACATTGGAAAACCAACTGGGGAGTACTCAACAGCTGTTTCGTCGGTCTAGTTTGGGACTCTTTAGCAGTACTCACCCACCAGGGTTCGAACCCACGACCTTTTAGTTACAAGGCGAGCTAGCTCGTAGACCATTGAGCTACTGGGACCCGATCCAATGGCCAGCTCATGAATTCTAACTTCTGCCAATTCACGACATAGCGCGACCCTTAGCCAATGTCTTCGGCGAGTATTTGTCTTCACACACACCCGACCTGCTGCACCCTACTGGTCACGACTTCTAACTGGAACCCCAGGTAACTACCTACCTGAATAGGGCTAGTCGCTAGTGAGGATCTCATTGATATTCAAGTGCCTGTTGGAATGTAACAGTCATTATATCGGCCAAAGTGAGCGTCCCCTTCGAATGAGAATCCAAGAACACAAATCAACCGTGAAAAGACACGATATATATTCTTTAGTATCAATGCACATAGATAATTATGGATATCAGTTTGATTGGGATAATGTCGAAATTTTAGACAGAGGAAACACCAAAAGTGCAGCCAGGGAATTCCTAGAAGCCTGGTACTCAAACAAATCAGCCAGTGATTAACAAACACGTTGATATAGACCAAATATACCAACTAATAAAAAGTAAATCATGTAACCGGAAAGTTTAAAATCCAAGTCTGCAGAAAATGGTCAATACGTATGTAAAGATGGTTACCACGAGACGCCATTATATCACTCATGAGGAAATTTAAATCATTTCACTTTATGCCGAATATTGCGCTGAAAGAGGATGTTGTCCAGAAGGACAACGAAAGCTCCGCAACTAAACCAACCAGCTCAGAGAACACTATTAGTTGCTAAATTCTTATGTTCTGACAGGCAGTCTCACTACTCCTGATCAACTAGTTTGACCTATGGTAGAATAACTGACGCCGCGAAGATAGGTCATTTAGAAAGAGCTCAGCAATTACACTACATGCATTAACACACAACCACACAATAGGGTAGTGGGATAGGGTTAAACTTCTAAAAAGTAATATAAGTAGGTGGAGAGAGACGGAGGTTTATTTCTGAATCTCGGTTCATCGAGTTTATACCCAACACACTCAATAGGAATGACTCATGACTCATACCGGAAATATGGAAAATACTACTACCAATCAAATCAAGCGATGAAAAATAATGGAATTATGTAAACGAAGTTGGAAAGTTGTGTGAATACCTTGGTAGGATTGTGAGCAATAAATTGTACTCAAGATATGATAATCAGTAAATATTACTATATAACGCTATGAGACTTTATCAAAATAAATTCTACCCATAATGGAATTAAACTCCGCTGAAGATTCTGTACATTATGTAAACATTGTTTCAGAATACAGCTGTTAGTGTTATTGCTACTATGAACTAGTGTAATGTGTCGGGTTTTTGTTTAGTGTAGGCTGAATTCTATCATACTAGCTCTGTGGCTCGCCATCACGATGGACTGTGAATTGTTAATGTCGGGTGGTTTCAGGTA